GTGCTGCAGGTCCAGCTGGGAGGGGCTGTGGGTGGAAGCAGTGATACGGCTTCAGATAAGGCTGTGCCTGGGGAAGACTCCGGGATCTGTTCTTAAGAAACAGGAGAGGGGGCTGGGAAGGTGGCTCAGTGGTAGAGCGCTTGCCTTGCATGCACAAGGCCCTGGGTTCAAATCCTCAGCACCACATAAGCAAAAAGAAAAAAGCCGGAAGTGGCGCTGTGGCTCAAGTGGTAGAGTGCTAGCCTTGAGCTGAAGAGCTGAGGGACAGCGCCCAGGCCCAGAGTTCAAGCCCCACGACCAACAAAAAAAAAGAAAAGAAAAACAGAAGGGAACTGTAATCACACCTAGCTACTCAGGAGACCAAGATCTGAGGATGGAGGTTCAAGCCCTGGTAACGAGCTTCTTATCCCCATTTAACCAGCTGGAAGTGGAGGTGTTAAGTGGTTAAGTGGTAGTGTGCTAGTCTTGAATGAAAATGCCAAGCGAGAGCTGGAGGCCCTGAAGCCCCAGTACCAGCAAAAGAAAAGTTAGAGCAGGCATTTGTGAACTGGAGTGTGGCTGACCTTGAGTCCTGTCTGTCCCAAAGCCTGATCCTGACCGTGTGCATATCGCAGTCCCAGGCCAATACCAGGGCCATCCATGGGCTCCGGAAGCAGCTGGTTTGGGTGAGTGGCCACTGGGTTTGGGGGAAGCCACCTCCAGAGAGGCAGGGAGAGGTGGTTGGTTAGGTTTTGGTCCTTAATGCACAGGCTTAGGACTGGAGGAAAGGCTGATGACTCCAGGAACAAGACCTGGTATGAATTTGGCTTTAGGTTTGGGGTGGCCCTGGACCCTCCCACTCCTCAGGTTCTGGGCCCTCACTGCTGAAGGCCTGGAGCATTGCTGGAGCTGGGAACAGTGGCTCCTACTGGAGCCAGGCCAGACAAGGGTCGGGGCGTGGCCGGGAGACCGTGTGCGGGGAGGAGGGGAGGAGGGAGGGTCCAGGTCTTGTAGGGGCGTGGCCACGGGTGCTGGGGCGGGTCCTATGGGGGGCATGGCATCAGGTGGTGGGTGGGCCTCCACGGGGGGCGTGGCCTCGGCAACTGGGGCGGGAGTTGTGTGATCTGTTTGGGGCGTGGCCTCGGCAGCCGGGGCGTGGCCTCGGGCGGTGCCTGTATCTGTTGGGCAAGTCCAATGCAGTGGCTGCGGCTGTAAGAGGAAGTTCTGCTTGCAACCGCCCGCTCGCCACTCCCTCCCCTCACAGCAAGTCCGGGAGAAGTGGCACCTCGTGGAGGACCTGTCGCGGCTGCTGGACCCCGGGGCCTCCCCGGGGCCGGAGTCCCCTCCCTCTCGAGCTTCGCGTCCGCGGTCCTTGTGCCCCGGATTCCCGTGCCCGGGCTCCCCGGGCCCCCGGAGCCCCGCGCCCGGACCTTCCCGGTTCCGCTTCCCCACCGACCCCGGCTCCCCGGCGGGACCTGCGGCCTCCCCGCCCTCCGCCCCAGGCCCCTGGTGACCCGGGCGGCTGGAAGAGTGTGTGGGAATCCCCACCTGTATGTTTTTAACCTTCAAATGTTCTATTTTTTTTAATTAAAGGTCTTGCAGTGTACCTAGATCTTAGCAGAGTAAGTCAGGGATGTGGTTTATTTATTTGCTTTGCTCCTCCAGGGGCTTGAGCTCAGGCCTGGGCAGCGCTGACCCTGAGCCTCTTCGTGCTCAAGGGTAGCGCTCTACCACAAAGCCGTTTCTGGCTTTTTTTGAGTAGTTTGTTGGAGGTAAGAGTCTCATGGACTTTGCTATCTGGGCTGGCTTTGAACCATGATCTTCAGATCTCAGCCTCCTGAGTAGCTAGGGTGACAGGCGTGAGCCACAGGTGCTGGCTCTCCCTGACACTGGTATCTCCATAAGCCACCAGAAAACCGGAAGTGGCGCTGTGGCTCTAGTGGTAGAGCGCTCGCCTTGAGCTGAAGAGCTGAGGGACAGCGCCCAGGCCCAGAGTTCAGGCCCACAACCAACAAGAAAGAAAGAAAGCAGGTAGCTTTGGCCTGAAGCCCTTGGAGCCAGAGGCTTCTCAGGTGACAGTTGGACATGGCCAGTCCATCTCCTCCCTGGCTGACCTTATCTGGTCCCATGGCACAGGACCCAACACCTTCAGCAAAGGCAGATCAAATGCTGCTAAAGGCCAGGTCCTGATCCAGAGCCCATCAATGAGGCCACCAGGGACACAGGCTCCCCTGGGAGCTGGTTAATCTGGCCCAGGGGCAAGTGACACAGGATGGATGGATCAGCAGCTAGACCCACAGCAGCCTGGTGTGCACTTGGGTGGGAACTGGTTAGATCCAAATTCTCAGGCCTTGCTCTGACCTCCTGGGTCAGAAAATGCAAGATTGGTGTCCAGCAGGGGTGTTTGTTTTTGATCTGGGCATTGTGGTATACACCTGCAATTCCTCACTGTGGATGATAGGGGAACTGGGGGACGGTGGGTGGCGACATGACAACCCTTCTCTGCCCAGAAGCCACACTGGGGGCAGTGAGAGGCCTGCTGGTGTTATTGCACAAGCACAAGCCAAGTAAACACCTCACAAGTACAAGGTAAGGGGGGGGGGGGGTGAGCAGGCAGCCCAGCAAACCAACCACAGGGGTCTCTGGACCCTCCCAGGCCTGGGAAGCCTCCCCTCACTCCCCTCAGCTCTTCTGGCCTCGGTGGTCCAGGACTATGTCTCCCCCACCTTTGGGACCCTTCCAAAATCCAGGCACTCAGGAAATACAGAGACTGTGACAAGGCCTTCTGCTGTGGAGACCAGCCCTGTGAGGCAGAAATTACAAAACCGCGGTGTGTGGGGAAACTAGGGAACTTTTTTTTTTTTTTTTTTTTGGTCGTGGGGCCTGAACTCGGCCTGGGCTCTGTCCCTCAGCTCTTCAGCTCAAGGCTAGTGCTCTACCACTTGAGCCACAGAGCCACTTCCAGCTTTTTCTGCTTATGTGGTGCTGAGGAATGGAACCCAGGGCCTCATGCATGCAAGGCAAGCACTCTACCACTGAGCCACCTTCCCAGCCCACTAAGGAACTTTTAGGACCACTAAAAACTCCACTCAAGGGATGCCAAGAATGGTCCTGACTAGCCCTGTGCTGCCTGTGGGGACAGAGGACTAGCCCACACGGAGTGAGATGGATACACTGGTGGTCCCTGGAGAGGGACCCCAGGTCCCACGGGAAAGGCTCCCATCAAGGCCTGGCAAGGATGCCCCCAGAGTCAGCAGATATTCAGAGAAGAGAGGACTTTTCCAAGATGCCTGGGCCCAGGCCGCTTTCGTGTTTACCACACCAGGGAGAGCCAGAGTTTCTGGGTCTTTAGGCTCCAGACAGCCCGCAGCCTGAGACCCTAGGGAGGGTCAGCCTCCCTCTGATCCTTGTTCCTGGTGTCCCTCAGTCCTCGCTCCCTCCTCCCACCCAACAGAGGCAAAAATAAGCTTTTGGGAACTGGATGCCAGGGGCTCAGGCCTGAAATCCTCACTACTACTCAGGAGGCTGAGATCTGAGGATCACAGTTCAAAGCCCGCCCAGGCAGGAAAGTCTGTGAGACTCTTATCACCAATGAACCACCAGAAAACCAGAAGGGGCGCTGTGGCTCAAGTGGTAGAGCACTCGCGTTGAGCTGAAAAGTTCACAGACAGCGCCCAGGCCCAGAGTTCAAACTCCACAACCAAAAAAAAAAAAAAAACCTTTTAGGAGGGAATTGTGGGAGAAGTTACAAGAGAAGAAGCAATGGCAGGAGCTGTCCCCAGGGACTGTGGACGGCAGGTGGCACACAAAAGGTCTCTAAGTGACTTGATGTCTGCATAGTTTTCCTCATCATCCAGATGCTGCTCCCTGACACACACCAATCTCACAGGCTTCAGTGGCGCCCCAAGATTGGAAAGAAGGGCCCACGGGCTTTCGGGTCAGGCAATGGGCAGCAGTGACATTAGAGACTGACAGTCACCTGGTAGCAGGCAGGTGACACTGCTGTGTAAAAGCAGCTCACACCTGTCATCCGAATTACTCAGGAGGCTGAGATCTGAGGATCGTGGTTCAAAGCCAGCCCGGGCAGGAGTTAAGAGTCCACAAGACTCTTCTTATCTCTAATTAGTCACCAGATTAATTCATTAATCCTAGAGCGCTTGCCTGGAGGGGAAAAGCTCCGTGACAACACCCAGGCCCTGAGTTCAAGCCCCACAACCAGAAGAATATAAAAAAAAAGCAATTGAATGATTCCTTTTCTGCACAAAGTCACTCACCCTGGCAAGAAAGCCACCAGCTAGCCTGGCAGCCAAGATTGGGCTTGAGCCAGAAGCTGCTAGAGGGGCAGGCATGTGGCAGTGGCCCCTCGGGCTGGGAGGCCCACCGCCCCTCTGCTTCAGGGCACTGGCAAGGCCACACCACAGATGGTGACATGGCTTAGTCTTTATTTTGCCTGCGTGAGCCTCGGGCCCAGGCCCCTGGACGATGACCCTCCATTTGCTGTCGCTCGGCCATCCACTGGCATGAAGAAGGGTGGAGCTCGAGACCAGTTCTGGGCTGACCAGAGCCTCGTCCAGGCTGTGGTGGAGCCTGGGGCCAGGTGTGGCATCAGCCCCCTCCTGGGTGCTGGGCTGGTGGTCGGAGGGGATCCTCTGGCATGTGGGCAGAAGTCGCCTTGCAGCCGGCCGCCACATCTCCAGTCTGCCTTGTAAGGCCCTGCCTGGGAATCGCTCACCTCCCACTGGGCACACACACCACCTCACTTCCCACCCCTGCCTCCCTAGGCCAGGATGTGGGTGTCCCTCACCCACCAAAGTCCAGGGGCTCCAACCCGTGGGACTCTTCTGGGCCCCGCCCTGGTGGGAGGGGGGCACCTTGGGAGTTGCAGCCTCCAGATTATCTTGGCCCTGCAGGCGGCACCCCTGGAGCATGCCAGGGGGCCCCCACGGTGGAAAGAGGCCCACACGCAGGAAGCTCTGTTGAGTCTGAGCGGAGGCTCCACGCAGCCCCACTGAGGACGAGGCATGAGGCTGCTCCCGCTGCTGTGCTTGGCCATGCTGGGTGAGCCCTCTCGGGGACACCTGGGAAGGGCTGCCCGAGCCTCAGGGGGTGGGCTTAGGGTGTGGGAGCGCTGGGGAGTACAGGAGAGGTCCTGAAGGCAGGGGTACAGGGGAAGGCAGGGACAGACAGGGAGGATGACACTACAGACCAGACCAGCCCCTTACTGGCCTCATTGCTGCTTCATTACTGCACCGATTTACTCATCTGAAAGATGGGCTTAGGACCCCATCTCCTGGGCTCAGCTGCGGCTCCCTCACGGGGCTCCCCTCCCCTTCCCCTCTCTTGCAGCTCCCAGCAGCTTTCCCAAAGAGGAGGCAGAAGGTGAGTAGCCCCAAGATTCTGGGGGGAGAAGGGTCCTCGGCCTCCATCTGTGATCCTTGGTGGGAGAGAGGCTGTGGATGGGATGGGGGGTGGGGAAAGGCAGCGGGCTCAACCATTCTGGAACCCAGCCTCCACCCTGCAGGGATCTGGAGAGTGAAGAAGGCAGGCTGAGCAGGTGGAAGCGGGATTTCTGGGGACAGGGGACAGTGGAAGGGCTCTGCTTCCGGCAGAGCTGTTTGGAACATAGAGGGGTGTCCTTGGGCAGGGGTGGAGGGGGGCAGGGGGGAGCAGAATCTCCCACACACACCTGTGAGCCCTGTAGGTCTGCTGGGTGGGTATGGCCCCAGACAGGTGGGGAACTCTTGGGGAGCGCCTTGACCCAGGAGGGGGGCCCCTTGGTCAGAAGGACTGCTGGGAAAAGCTAGAATCCCAGCCAGTGCAGAAGCAGCTGGAGGGCGTGGGTCTCTGTCCCAGAGTTCCCCAGGGAGGGGAACCCCTGGCCTGGCCCACTTTCAGGGCCAACTGCATCTTTCTGCTTGTTCTGCACTGTCCCCTCTCCTCCCTGCCCCCCCGCCCCCGCCATCTCCAGCCCCTGTGTCAGTCAGGGTGGAGACAGGAGACCTCCCTACCTTGTCCCTAACCTGTGCAGCCAGCTACGCAGGCCAGAGCTGGACGTGCCTCTATTCTACTTCCCATGGGACTGTTGATGTAGGTCTCACTTAGAGGAGGCACAGATTCAACCACCATTTATTTCCTCATTTGCTGGAGAGAGAAAGAGGGAAAGGGAGATGGGGAGGAAAGAGGGAGGGGAGAGGGGGAGGGGGAGGGAGATTCACACATATTTTTGGTGTTGCCCTTAAAAAAGCCGTAGCTAGTTCTCTGGAAAGTACCTGCCTCTTCTGTCAAATCAGCCCGTGACTTCTGCTCAGCCAATCAAGTCCTGCTAACTGAACACGGTGTGTGTGTGAGTGTGTGTGTGTGTGTGTGTGTGTGTGTGTGTGTGTGTGAGTGAGTGAATTTGGGGGCTTAAACACAAGATCTTAGCTTTTTCTGTTTAAGGCTAGTGCTCTACCTCTTGAGCTACACCTCCACTTCTAGTTTTTTGATGGTTAGAGATAAGAACCTCTTGAGGGCTGGGAAGGTGGCTCAGTGGTAGAGCGCTTGCCTTGCATGCCTGAGGCCCTGGGTTCGATTCCTCAGCACCACATAAGCAGAAAGAAAAAAAAAAAAGCCAGAAGTGGCACTGTGGCTCAAGTGGTAGAGCGCTAGCCTTGAGCTGAAGAGCTGAGGGACAGCGCCCAGGCCCAGAGTTCAAGCCCCATGACCGGACCCCCACCCCCCCCCCCCAAAAAAAAGAACTTCTTGAATGTACCTTCCCAGGCTGGCCTTGAACTGTGATCCTCAGATCTCAATCTCCTGGGTAGCTAGGATGACAAGGGCCTGGCAATGTCCTTTCTTTAGTAACAGACTCTCACAGAATGAGGCTCACCCTGCAACCCAGCCTCTAGGTGGCTTAGCTGCTGGCCCCAGAGGGGCCTCGGTATCACTTTATCTCGTTTTACATGTGACATCACATCATCCAAATGTTCTGACTTAGTAGCTGCATGCTAAATTAGGGAAAGACTGCCCTTGATTGATCCACTAAATCCATAAACCAAATAATGAAAACAAATCTGTATGCACACATGCGCATGCGCGCGCACACACACACACACACACACACACACACACACACACACACACACACGCACACACACGCACGCACACACACACACACACACACACACACACCTTGTTTGAATAGAGAGTAAAGGCCCTGATGCAGACTTAGGCAAATCAAGCTTCTATTCTTGGCCATTGAAATGAAAATGGGGCATTTTTTTCCTTTCTACTTTTGTACGTCTAGATCATTTCCCTTTTTGAAGGGAGCAGAAGAACTGCAAGGGGGTCCAGGAGATCCCCACTTCCCCAACATGAGTTTTCAGCCCCTGCCCCTGAGGTGCCTTTCAGCCCTAAGAAGAAGGCCTCTGTCCCAAGAGTCAAACCTAAATAATGACGGATGGAAGTGCAGTAGCTCAGGCAGCTCTAAGTCTAGCTGTAGCTCTGCTTTCTCAAACCAATGATTTTGCATGAAAAGCCTTTTTTTTTTCCCCAAAAAGATAAAGGTAATGGGGACTGGGAAGGTGGATCAATGTAGAGTGCTTGCCTCACATGCATGAGGCCCTGAGTTTGATTTCTCAGCCCCCTATAAATAGAAAAAGCCGGAAGTGGTGCTGTGGCTCAAGTGGTAGAGCGCTAGCCTTGAGCTGAAGAGCTGAGGGACAGCGCCCAGGCCCAGAGTTCAAGTCCTATGACTGACCAAAATAAAAAAAAAGAAAAAAGAAGAAGAAAAAAGAAAAAGGTAATTGTAACATCTCTGCACATCACTTTTATAATAACAATATTTTTTGTTTTTTGGGTTTTTGGGGGTTTTTTGTCGGTTGTGGGGCTTAGACTCTGGGCCTGGACGCTCTCCCTCAGCTCTTCAGCTCAAGGCTAGTGCTCTACCACTTGAGCCACAGCGCCACTTCCGGCTTTTTCTACTTATGTGGTGCTGAGGAATAGAATCCAGGGCCTCATGTATGCAAGGCAAGCGCTCTACCACTGAGCCACCTTCCCAACCCTAACAATATCTTTTTAATATTAAAAAAAAAAAAAAGCTGGGCACTGTTGGCTCACGCCTGTCATCCTAGCTACTCAGGAAGCTGAGATCTGAGGATCGCGGTTCAAAGCCAGCCCAGGCAAGAAAGTCCATGAGACTCTTATCTCCAATAAACCACCAGAAAACCAGAAGTGGAGCTGTGGCTCAAGTGATAAAGTGCTTACCTTGAGCAGAAGAGCTCAGGAACAGCACCCAGGCCCAGAGTTCAAGCCCCAAGACTGACCGAAAAACAACAAAAAAAGTATGGATTATAGCCATGGCTGAGTTGGTAGAGTACTAGCCAATGAGCAAAAGAGTCAGGTACCAAGTTTGAGTCCTGCTCTCAAACCAAAAAAGAAGAAAAGTACTCCCCTGACCCCCACCCTATCAGGGGGTACTGGTGAAGCTGTGGTGGACACTCCAATGAGACGGAGCTGGTGATCTGTGCAGGCCCAGTGAGCGGTCCTGATTGTAGATGGCCCAGCCACTCTGTGTGGCTCTCAGCCCACACCGCTGGCCTTGGGGCTGGATGGTTCTCCGTTATAGACTGCCCACTGCATCGTGGGTGTTCAGGGAGTCGCTGGCTTCCATTCAGCCGATGCCAGGAGCAGCCCCAGGGTGATAACCACAAATGCCAGCAGACACAGCAGTCCTCAGGAGCCAGCGCAGCCCACACTGAAATCCACTGTCTGTCAGGTGATGTAGCAGCCAGCTACAAGGGAGCTGTCAGATTCCCAGAGCATGTCACCTGTCACCGCGCCACGTGCCGACGCTTGCGTACTGCAGTGTACTTACCGCAGGTCGCCCAGCAGCACAGGGGAGGCCAGGGACCCCAAGGACATTTATATTTTGTCTTTTTTTTTGGGGGGGAGGTCCGGTCGTGGGGCCTGAACTCTGGGCCTGGGCGCTGTCCCTCAGCTCTTCAGCTCAAGGCTAGCGCTCTACTACCTGAGCCACAGTGCCATTTCCGGCTTTTTTCTTTTTGCTTATGTGGTGCTGAGGAATTGAACCCAGGGCCTCAGGCATGCAGGGCAAGCGCTCTACCACTGAGCCACCTTCCCAGCCCTATTTTGTCTTTTTTTTTAATGTGCTAGTATTGGCACTTGAGCTCAGGGCCTGGGTGCTCTTTGCTCCTCTTTGCTCAAGGCTAGCACTCTACCATTTGGAGCCACAGCTACACCTTCCAGTTTTTTGGTGGCTAACTGGAGATAAGAGACTCATGGACTTTCTATCCCTGAGCTGGCTTTGATCCTCAGATCTCAGCCCCTGAGTGGCTAGGATTATAGCCATGAGCCGCCTTCCCAGCCAAAACCAGCATTTTCTTAAGGGGTGTGATAAATCAACCTTCCTTTCTTTCTTTCTTTTTTTCTTTCTTTCTTTCTTTCTTTCTTTCTTTCTTTCTTTCTTTCTTTCTTTCTTTCTTTCTTTCTTTCTTTCTTCCTTCCTTCCTTCCTTCCTTCCTTCCTTCCTTCCTGCCTCCTTGCTTCCCTCCCTCCCTCCCTCCCTCCCTCCCTCTCTCCCTCCCTTCCTGGACTCTCCACCTCCTAGGTTCCACTCCAGACATCTCCATCACCTACAAAGTCCTGCAGGTCTACCCCCAAAGCCGCTGGGTGCTTATAACATGCCATGTGCTCCAGGCACCCCCGCCCATCACCTACTCCCTCCTGGCTAGACAGAACACCCTGGTGGCCAGGAGGGTGATAAACACCTACCAGCCCGCCTTCTTCAGCATCAACGTCACGCTCAAGTCCAGCCCGGACCTGCTCACCTACTCCTGCCAGGCCGTCTCCGCCTCGGGCACCCACGGGCCCAGCGCCAGGCTGCAGATGTACTGGGAGCTGTGGGCCAGTGAGTGCTGGGGCCAGCCAGAGGGGAGCAGGGGAGGCAGACAAGTGGGGAGCTCCTGGGGGATTTAGAGGGGTCCAGGGCAGGATAGTGGGAATGGAGGGCAGGCTGCCAGCCCCAAAGCTGTGCCCAGACTGGTGGCCACAAGATTCCATCCTGTCTGTGGGCTCATAAGTGAGGCTGATAAACCAGGCCCTTCTTTCTCTTTTCCTTTCCTTCCTTCCTTCCTCCCTTATTTCCTCCCTTCTTTCCTTCTTCCCTTCCTTCCCTCCCTCCTTTCCTCCTTCCCTCCCTCTTTCTCTCCCTCCCTCCTCTCTGCCAGCACTGGGGCTTGAACTCAGGACCTGGACACTGTCCTACTGTCCTTTAGCTTTCTTGCTCAAGGCTGGCATTCTACCCTTTGAGCCACACAGTTCCCATTCCACTTTTTGCTGGTTAATTGGAGGTAAGACTCCTATAAAAATTTAAAAAACAAATAAAAAAGACGTTCCTGCCTCGGCTGGCTTGGAACCACGATCCTCAGATCTCAGCCTCCTGAGCAGCTAGGATTATGGATGGGAGCCACCAGCACCTGGCTAACCCAGGCCCTTGCTGTCACTCATCTCAGTTCAATTTCTCATCCACTCATGGGGCTCTGGCTTCGTGTCTGGAGGCTCTGGGAGACTGGCCAAAGCCGGTTTCAGGACCCCTCCCCTGCCCTGTATCAGCCCCAAGTCCTGCCTTCTTCCCAGGTCCATCCCATTCCACCCTGAGTGTCTTCCTTGAGAGCCCTGGGCAATGGGGACCAGGAAATGTTGCTGGCCTGTATGGCTAGACAAAGATTAGGTGGGGCTCCCTTCCATTCTCTGCCCCTCAGCCTAAGGATGCTAGGAGAGGTCGCCAAGGGGGAGTCAGGTGGGAACCCTACAGGTGGAGCTCAGATCCCACCCACACTGGCTGTGGGGACAGGTGGGTCTCTCTTAGCCTCCATTGCTAGGCCTGAAAACGAGATAATGAGCGGAGCATCCCAGGGCACAGAGGGCATTGGGTAGGGTGGCATTTAGGAGGCGGTAGGGATGGAACCAGGTGTGGGATTGCTGCTAATACATAAGGGTTCAGAGTCTAGAATTCCACCCCGCCCCCACACTGGTCATGGGCTTACACTCAGGACCTGGGCACTGTCCCTGAGCTCTTTTGTTCAAGACAAACACTCTGCCAGTTTGAGCCACAGTGCCACTTCCGGTTTTCTGGTGGTTCATTGGAGATAAGAGTCTCATAGACTTTCCTGCCCACGCTGGCTTTGAACCATGATCTTCAGATCTCAGTCTTCTGAGTAGCTGGGATTACAGGTATGAGCTGCCAGCACCTTGCTAATATTTTTTACTTAATTGGATGCAATGGAGGCTGCCAGATACGTTTCATATAGGACATACTGTTTCTGAAAAAGTACTTGCTGCTTGTCTACAATTCAAATTTAACCAGGTGCCCTGTGTTTTTATTTTCTAAGTCTGGAAACCTGAAATATACCATACCGAAAGTGTAATTGTGTGGTCACACTGCCAGCAGGCTAGAAGCTCAGACACACAGGGTAATCCTGAGGGCTGCCTAGGGGAGGCGGCAGCAACACAAAGCCCTGGGCTCGTCTGGCATTTCAGATCAGGACGTAAGGCCTTCTAACCATGTCTGTGCCATTCCCTCCCATCCCCCTCCACTCCCCACCCCAACTACCAGAGCCAGTGTCCCAGCTGCAAGCTAACTTCTCCCTGTGGGACAGAGGGTCCGGCCCCAGGATGGAGGTGTCCTGCCAGGTGTCCTCTGGCAGTCCACCCATCACCTACCGTCTGGTCAGGAAGGACGGGAGAGTCTGCATGCAGCAGAGGCCTCTCCACGGGCAGCCTGCCAACTTCTCCTTTCAGCTGTCCCAGACATCCGGCTGGTACCATTGCCAGGCTGAGAACAGCATCAGTGCCCTGAGCAGTGCCTTCACGTTGGTGCCCCCGGGTGAGAGTGCTCTTCGGGGCTGGAAGGGGACCCGGCCTAAAGGGCCCAGGTGGCAGCCATGCCTACTAGGCCTCCTGCCTGAAGGCAGCCAGCCCAACCCAGCCTCCTTGCCGCCCTCACAGGGCAGCTGCCCCTGGGACCCACGTGCGTGCTTGTCGGCAGCCTGGTCTCCATCACGGGCATTGCTTCTGGGATGCTTGGCTGGACTAGGTAAGCCCTGTGCAGGGAAGGAATGGGAGAGTGGCTGTCTACCACCAAGAGCCTGGGGGGAGGGGATGGAGAGGAGGGGCGGGCGGCGCTTACAAGTCAGGCAGCCACCAAGGCAGTGAGAAAGGGGGACATACCAACAGGCCCACCCCAAAGATATTCATTGAGATGCACTGTTTCCTGTCCCGCGTCCCCAGGTCCCCAGCTGCTCTTCAGTGGTCATCTAGCCTCTGATGGGGGGCTCTCTCTCTCTCTCTCTCTCTCTCTCTGCTGGTCCTGGGCTTGAACTCAGAGGTTGGATGCTTTCCCTGATCTTTGCCATTTAAGCCACATGTCCACTTCTACTTTTTTGGACTTTCTGGCTGGCTTTGAACTGCGATCCTCAGATCTCAGCCTCCAGAGCAGCTAGGATGACAGGCGTGAGCGGCCTGTGCCTAGGTTTGCTTGTTTTCAGGCTGGTAGTCTATCACTTGTGTCCCAGCTCTGCTTCTAGCTTTTTGGTGACTAATTGGAGATAGGAGTCTCATAAACTTTCCCACCCAGGGGTTCTTCACCTCTAGCCTTACATCTCAGCCTGTGGTGTAGCTACTATTACAGACATGCGCTAACAAGGCCCAGCTTTTTCCATGTTTCCTGTGGGTCCTCTGCGACCTGGGCGGGCCAGGACCGGCCTCATTGGTCAGCCTCTCCCAGGTGGCACAGGAAGCAGGGGCGGGACTTCCTGTGAAGTCTCTTTCCCATGGCCAGCACTTCCTGGCTGGGTGAAGTGGCAGGGCCAGCCTCTGCCTGCTGCCTGCTGCCCCGGGGCCATGCTTCTGCCTCCTGGAACTTCCCATGTGAGGCACCTCACTGTTCTCTCCTGTAAAGTGGGGTTCAGAGACCTGGCTGCCACCGACCCTGCGACCAGGGACCAGTGTTTGGCCCCTCAGGGATTCAGCACCCCACTTCGTTTAGTGGGATGAGTAAGCCTCCTGTCTTCCTGCCCAGGATACAGAGGCTCTTGACACCATAAAACCCCAGGAGGCCTCGGCAGAAGGTGAAAGAGAGGTGTGCTGCCGGACCCAGAGCATCTGCTACTTTGTCATCAAGATGGGGACCAGAAGACGAGGCCAGAGTCCCTTAGGAAGAAGCCGGCCTTGGGGGTGGAGGGGGCTTGGTGTTGGTCTGAAGACACAGAACAGCAAGTAAGTGCTGTGTGCAGCTCAGAGACGCACCAGAGGTAATAAAATTGGACTGCATGTGGGGTCCGCACTGGTGGCCCTGTGGTGACAGGTTCATTTGCTCCATTCCAGACTTTCGCTGTCTTTGTGTATCCCATCACATCGTGTTGTATATCTTTATTATACATAATAAAAGCATTGAGAAGAAGAAGAATCGCAAAAATAAGCATAAAAATGAAATACAATCTGAATAAAGGCAGGCTTGTCGGTTTACACCTGTAATTTCACTACTCAGGAGCTATGGCAGGAAGACTGAGAATAGGAAGCCAGCTTGGGCTACAGAGCAAGACCCTGGCTAAAAACAAATAAAAAGAAAGGAAGGGGAGCTGGGAAGTGGTAGAGCGCTTGCCTCACATGCATGAAGCCCTGGGTTCCATCCCTCAGCACCACATACACAGAAAGAGCCCGAAGTGGTGCTGTGGCTCAAGTGGTAGAGTGCTAGCCTTGAGCAAAAGAAGCTCAGGGACAGCACCCAGGCCCTAGGACTGGCAAAAAAGGGAGGGAAGGGAAGAGGAGGGGAAGGGAGAAGGAGAATGTGAGGGTTGAAGAAAGGAGGGAAGGGGGAAGGGAAAGGCCTGCCAGTTTCCTTAGACCCTGGGGGAGTTCAGCACACTTAAATGTTGCCATAAGAATTTTAGGGGATGGATAGAAAGGAAGGGGGCCTGTGCTCACCTCCAGTGGCTCCTCATCACCCATCAATGTGGGGGGGGGGGGTCAGGGGATGGACTGTCAGAAGGACCAGCCCCCCTCCCTCCCCCTTGTGGTGGCTCTGTCCTCTGGCTGTACTCACACCACCAGCTCCCCTCCTGCGTACTGCCCTCCTCATCCCTTACCTCCCTTAGCACATCCTTCCTGGAGCCTGTACATGGTCCCTGGAGTTCCCCTCCCCCTGCCTGTCTCACACAGCCTAGCACCAGTGTCCCTTTCCAGGTATACCTTTTTGTTGTTGTTGTCATGAATTCTGGGCCTGGGCGCTGTCCCTCAGTTCTTCAGCTCAAAGCTAGTGCTCTACCACTTGAGCCACAGCGTCACTTCCGGTTTTCTGGTGGTTCCTTGGAGATAAGTCTCACAGACTTTCCTGCCCGGGCTGGCTTTGAACTGTGATCCTCAGATCTCAGCCTCCTGAGTAGCTAGGATTATAGGTGTGAGCCACTGGCACGGGCTTTTTTTTTTTTTTTTGTAGGTCATAAAGCTTGAACTCTCATGGCCTGGGCACTGCCCCTGAGTTCTTTTAGCTCAAGGCTAGCACTTTGAGCCATAGCTCCACTTCTGTTTTTCTGGTGGTTGATTGGAGACAGTCTCTCAGCTGGATGCTGATGGCTCATGCCTGTAATCCTAGCTATTCAGGAGGCTGAGATCATCTGAGGATTTCGGTTCAAAGCCAGCCTGGGCAGGAAAGTCCAGGAAACTTATCTCCAATAAACCACCAGAAAACCGGAAGTAGTACTGTGGCTCAAGTGGTAGAGCGCTCGCCTTGAGCTGAAGAGCACAGGGACAGAGCCCAGGCCCAGAGTTCAAGCCCCATGACCGACAAAAATAAAAGTCTCTCAAACCTGCCAGGGCTGGCTCTGAACCTCGATCCTCAGATCTCAGCCTCTTGAGTAGTTAGGACTATAGGAGTGAGCCTTTCTTCTTTTTTAGGTGAACTGAATTCAACTCTACCTCTGCTGTCACTGTGGGATTAGGAGCCTGCATTCTGTTTGCCCAGGATCTTGGTACCTGGCAGTGTGAGTCCTTCACAGCCTTGGGCCTTGGCCCAGGGAAGTAAGAATGGGAAGGGGTGCGGGGCCTGGAAGGGGCTTCCTGGGTTGTTGTTGTTGTTATTGCTATTATTTGTGGTGTTGGTGGAACCCCGAGTCTTGCACATGCCAGGCACCCCTAGGCCTTAGGCTGGGGAACTGAGTGGGGTGGGGGATGGGGTGCTACTAAGCCTGGGCCTGGGCAGGTGGGGGCCGAAGCCGGCCTGCAGCAGGTTTCCGGGAGGAGGGCAGCTCAGGCAGGGCCCCAGCTGCTCCCCGGAGGACTCTGACCCTTTCCGGCGGCGCGGCGGCGGGCCAGCGAAGCGGGGGGAGGAAGTGTGCGGCGGGCGGCCGGCAGCCCCGGCGGCCGCACCCCGTCCCCGCCGCGCCCCGCGCAGGCCCCTAGGCCCGCCGCCGCCGCCGCCGCCGCCGCCGCCGCCGCCGCCGAGGGCGGCACTTTGCCCCCGGTCCCTGGCGGGCGCCGGCCACGCCCCGTGGGCGGGGCTCGGGCGGGAGGGCGGGGCCGCCCGGCGGGTTCCCGGCGCTCGGCGGCTCGGCGGCGGCGGCGGCGGCGGCGGCGGCGACATGGAGAGCGGGGCCTACGGCGCGGCCAAGGCCGGCGGCTCCTTCGACCTGCGGAGCTTCCTGACCAAGCCGCAGGTGGTGGCGCGCGCGCTGTGCATGGTAAGCCGGGCCCCGCCGCCGCCGCCGCGCCAGCCCCGCCGCCCGCCGGCCCGGCCGCGACAGGTGGCGGCGGCCGCGCGTCCGGGGCCTGCGGCGCGCGTGGGGCCGGCGTCCCGGGGCCAGGCCCCGCCCCCGCGGCCGGGCGCGCGGCCCTCCCGCTCCCGGGCCCCCGGCCCCGCGGCCCTCCCGCTCCCGGGCCCCCGGCCCTCCCGCTCCCGGGCCCCCGGCCCCGCGGCCCTCCCGCTCCCGGGCCCCCGGCCCCGCGGCCCTCCCGCTCCCGGGCCCCCGGCCCCGCGGCCCTCCCGCTCCCGGGCCCCCGGCCCCGCGGCCCTCCCGCCCCCGGCCCCGCGGTCCTCCTCCCCCGGGCCATTTGGTTCTCCCCCACCTCCCGCCCCGCGGTCCTCCTACGGGCCATTTGGTCCACCTCCCCCAGCCCGCGGTCCACCTCCCCCGGGTCATTTGGTCCTCCTCCCCCGGGTCATTTGGTCCTCCTCCCCCGGGCCATTTGGTCCTCCTTCCCTGGCCCGCCACCCAGGGGAGGGGCTGGGGAAGTTTCTGAGCAGGTGGCTGACCACCTCCCCCCCCACTCACCTGGAGGGGGCCTCCTGAGGCCACGTGGGGGGGTCACCCACGGAGGGCACAGAGGGGTCACCCACGAGGGGCATAGGCCTCCTTCCCTTCCAGGAGCAGGCCGCAGCTGCGGTCCACCTCACCCGAGGCCAGGTGACCCCGGGCTGGACCACCCTGGTGGGCCCTCACCATTGGCTCTGGTGCCAGGCCTGGGGGGGGGGGGTGGTCCATGTCATCGGATAAGCAGCTGAAAGCTGGACAAGTTTTGGTGCCCAGCCGGGTGGTGGGCCTTCGCTCCAGCGGGTACCCGCTGCCCCCTGGCCCTGCCCGGCCCAAGGAGCAGATGATACAGATGCCCTGTGGGACAGGGTGGTAGTGCCAGGGGCTCTGCCCAGCAGTCAGGCTGCTGTCCGCCTGGAGTTCCGGCTTCCGCGCAGCTGGGGGTGGGGCCTGTGACTGCCAGTTCCAGAGCCCGGGTGAGAGCGGGCAGGGCAGGGCAGGGCCTGGCCCCAGGGTAACAGCTGCCCCCAGCCTCACCCATGCCTTTTTTTTTTGGGGGGGGGTGAGTGGCCTTGTAGACCCAGGAGCAAGCGAGGTGACATATCATGGAGTTCCTCTAGGGAGTTGAGCCGGTGAACTCCCCACCCTCCTCCTCGTTCCTCAATGGTCTCTTGAGTGCAGGGCTCTCTGAAGTGTCTGGCTCAGACAGGACCTGCATGTGGCCCAGAGACACACTGGAAATCCCTGGGAGGGAATAGGATAACAGAAGAAAGCAGAACAGTTGTAGAAGCAGGCTGCCAGCCTGGACCAGAGGATTGGCGGGGGCCTGGAGCGGCAGAGCCCTGGGTCCTGGCGTGGCTTGCCAGAGGTGTTGAGAGAACTAGAGGGTGGAAGGTGAGGACGGGGTTGGCCGATGGCCCTTCCTCTCCCTGGTGCTGTGACATCAGCTCTGTGGGCAGGCCACCCGGATGGAAGCAGCAGTCCCCTCCCGGAGATCCCCTGGTGGGCTCATTCCAATTCTCCCCAGCCCAGGAATCCCCAGGGTCCCCGGGAGTGAGAGACTGTGGTCAGGCAGTGCCCAGGAAACAGTCTGCTCATCACCAACTCCAGGAAGCCCCAAAGGGGTAAGAGTGCCGGTCTCAGAAGGGAACAGCAACCAGGCATGGTGGCACACATGTGTAATCCCAGATCTTAGAAAGATCTCAGTTCCAGGACAGTTTGAGTTACCAACACCCTATCCCCTCCCCCCCCCCCACAAAAAAATTAAGAGCCAGGTGCCTATGGCTCATGCCTGTAAAACCTAGCTATTCAGGGGGCTGAGATCTCAGGCTCTGGTTCAAAGCCAGTCCATGCAGCAAAGTCTGTGAGACTCTTATCTCTGGTTAACTACCCAAAAGCCACAAGTAGAGCTTTGGCTAACTGGTAAGAGCCCCAGCTTTGAGTAATGAAGCTCAGAGACATTGCCCAGGCCCTAAGTTCAAACCACAGTACCAGCAACAAAATAAGGGAAGGGGACAGGCCAGTGTTCCTACACACTGCCAGGGTCCCTGGTGACAATCCTGGGATGGGTTTGTGTGGGCTGTGCCCGTGGGGGTCAGGCTGCCCACCCCCTGCACCCTGCTCTCCTTCAGATATTCGCCCTGATTGTGTTCTCCTGCATCTTCGGTGAAGGATACAGCAACACCTCTGAGTCTTCCCAGTTGTACTGCGTGTTCAATCAAAACGAGGATGCCTGCCGCTACGGCTGTGCCATCGGGGTGCTGGCCTTCCTGGCGTCAGCCTTCTTTTTTGTGGTCGATATCTACTTCCCCCAGATCAGCAATGCCACCGACCGCAAGTACCTGGTCATTGGTGACCTCCTCTTCTCAGGTACCTGGCCCCGCCCCTTGGCTCCTGGGAGAGCAGTTAGTGCGGGCTGGCAGTGGAGGGCCCTGGAGCTCTCGGGAGGGTTAGAGAACTGAGGCCATGATATACCATGATGGCACAGAAACCCAATGGTCTTGGGGCACCAATGTGGGGCTCTGGCCTCCTGATGGGGTGCCCCCCAGAATCCTTCCCCTTAGCCCACTTCTGCTTCAGCTGCTCCCACATCCGGGGGCTCTGGGAGACCCCTGTGCCTCTGTGGAGCCGACCTCTCTGTCTTCTCCCCAGCTCTCTGGACCTTCCTGTGGTTTGTGGGTTTTTGCTTCCTTACGAACCAATGGTCAGCCACCAAACTTGAACATGTGCTGGTGGGAGCTGACTCAGCCCGGGCCGCCATCACCTTCAGCTTCTTCTCCATCTTCTCCTGGGTGAGTGGACTTGGGCAGGCGGGCTGTGGTCTCTGGCGTGGTAGCTGCCTAGCAAGGGCAGAGATCCTCCCCCCATCCCTAGCACTGCCAATAGATAAAAGTAGAAAAGACAAGCCTGAGGGAATGCGCTGCTGCCCCCTCACCCTGCCACACCTGGGGTCTCCATGCAGGGTGTGCTGGCCTCCCTGGCCTACCAGCGCTACAAGGCCGGAGTGGAGGACTTCATCCAGAACTACGTGGACCCCACTCCAGACCCCAACACGGCCTACACCTCCTACCCTGGCGCGTCTGTGGACAACTACCAGCAGCCGCCCTTCACCCAGAATGCGGAGACCACCGAGGGCTACCAGCCGCCCCCTGTGTACTGAGTGGCCTGGGGGAGGGGGCGGCTGGGGCCAGGCTCCCCTCTGCCCCCCACCTGTCAAGGCCGACTGGCTGGACAGCACATCTCCCCGCAGCCCACCCCAAGTGCCTGTGCCCCAGCGCCATCTGCGCAAAGCGCTGGTTAGGAAAGAAAGGGTTTTTTAGCTAGACATTTCCTCACTGCTTTTTATTTTATTTGTGGTGCTGGGGTTGGGCCCAGAGCCTTGCGTCCGCTATGTAAGTACTGTTACTGAGCTATGTCCCAGCCCCCTTACTGTCAGTGCCCCCCCTCCCCCAGCAGCCTGAGGCCGACAGCGCCTAGCGCAGCTCACAGCCACTGCAGCCTCCAGCCCCGGGGCTGGGGAATCTCCTTTTGGATTTTCTACCAAAGAAGGGGGCGGGGTCCTCACACCTGCCTCTCTGGGGTGCTGGGCTCAGGAACCCCCTCCTTACTCAGGTTTGCCACCCCAGGCCCCCGTGGCCGTCTCCACCCTGTGGCTGGGCCTTGTGCCCACTCATTTATCCTCTGGCGTCACCACTGTGCCAATTGTCCCCAGGCCACCTTGACAGGCGCGGTGGCACTGGTGCCCACCCCAGGGGCCACCAGACGCGCTTCCTTCCTGCTCCACGCCTGGTGGCAGGCAGGGGCTTTGCCTGATAACACCCAGCTTTATGTAAATATTCCGCAAGTGTGGGAAGGGCAGGAGTCCCGCACTGCTCGAATGTACGAAGCTTTGGGGGAGACAGCCCTCCATTGTTATACTGGTTCAGAGGTGAATAAATGTTCTCATTCAGCTGCCAAGGTCCTTGGTTGGGCCTCAGTCTGGGGGTAGGACTGGATTCAGGGGGGGCTTGTAGGTGCTAGGTGCTCTGCCATGGAGTTCTGACCTCAGCCTGGAACTTGCCTTCTGAAAAACCCCTTCTGTATACCTAGAGCACCCTTCAGCCTGGGGTCTCGGCCCTTACTGCCTTCCACTAGCATCCCAAAATAGCCACTGTGCTCAGCTTGTAAACAAGACAGATTTTTCTGGACTGCCTTGCCAGGGACCTGTGACTGCCTTTCTAGAATTAGAGGGGCTGGCCCCCTGAGTGCCTTTCTTCATAACCCTTTCCTTCTCAGCTGTCAGCAGAGTGAAGGGCACCATGGGAGGGGTGACTGGGTCCCAGGACACCCTATTAAATAACCCTGGGAGAATGGGCCTGATTCTAACAGAAAGCCAGGCCCCTGAAGTAACTCCTAGTTTCCTCTTTTGAGCGGTGACAGCCACCAACTGCGGACTCAGGTTATTTCAAAATCCCAAGTGCAAAGGAACAGGGCTTTCTTCCCAAGTCTCAGCTGCACCACCAGCCACTCCTAGCTGTGGCACAGGGCAGAGCTGAGGCCCTCTGAGAACCCATCGGCTGCACTGGGTGCGTGTGGCCCAGATCAGGGCACATTGAGCCTGAGCACCCCAGCCCCAAGGAACTGCTCTGGTCCACTTCCCAAGGCACAGCTGAATGGTCTTAGTTCCCAAACCATCGAGTATCTCTCACACAACCTGAGCTGGACAGGGGAGCCTCACTCTTGTCATCCTAGCTACTCAGGGGGCTGAGATCTGAAGATAATATTTCAAAGCCAGCCCAGGCAGGAAAGTCCCTGAGACTCATCTCCAGCGAACTGCCAGAAGCTGGAAATGAAGCTGTAACTCACATTAGAGGACTAGCCCTGAGCAAAAAGGCCCAGAGTGCAAACCCTGATAACACACTCACACCAAAAACCCAGTACCAGGGCTGGGAAGGTGGCTCAGTGGTAGAGTGCTTGCCTTGCGTGCCTGAGGCCCTGGGTTCGATTCCTCAGCACCACATAAGCAGAAAAAGCCAGAAGTGGTGCTGTGGCTCAAGTGGTAGAGCGCTAGCCTTGAGCTGAAGAGCTGAGGGACAGTGCCCAGGCCCAGAGTTCAGGCCCCACAACTGGACTCCAAAAAAAAAAACCCAAAAACCAAAAAGAACCCAGTACCTGCCCTCCTGATCTCCCAGGTGCACCTGGTAACAACCTGAAACCCAGGCTCTATTTATCCGTTTCCATCCTAAAGCCAGACGGACAGAAATGCTGGTGACAGTTCCTCTTTAGGACATGCTTCGTGAGCATTTCTGTGGAAAAGGTTGTGGTTGGAGAAAGCAGTAGAGCTACAAAAAGATCTGGGAAGAAATCCCCACCCACACTGCGCAGAAGCTGTCCTGAGGACCCGGGGAAGCCCAGGCCAGCAAGCCGCAAGCTCTCAACAACTTGAGAATTTTAGTCTTCGTTATTAATTTCATATACTATAAAACAAGAAGCACCAACTATGCACCGCTCTTCTGGAAACCACCAAGCGTAGGAAGGACGTTCAAGCGTGAAGGGCAGTGAGGGCTGGAGTCCAGGCCATCCTCCGTGGGGGGACAGATCCCCCCAAATGCACAGGCGCACAGACTTCCAGGGAGAAGAGAAACTGGGCAGTGAAAGCCACGAAGAGGAAGAGGCCGGCAGTACCGGTGTCACCACACGCATGGCTCGGCCCTGGCCCAGGGGAATGCTTGCAGCAGTCAAGCTGAACCACCGCGCATGCCCGCTCCAACCCGCGGCTGGTCATGTCAGTAGCCAGGAGGGGAAGCTGCAGGCCAGAAGGAGGTAACAGGCAACCTGGAGGGCCTGGAGGGCCTGTCCTGTAACAGTGTTCCTCAGATGCAGCAGCCCCATCGGAGGCCACGGGGTGGGGGTGGGTGGATGGGTGGGGCGGCAGGGGACCTCAGGCCCTCAGTGGACAGAGCTGCACTGCAGGACCTGCTGAGGGGCGAAGAGCTTCCTGACAGCTGTGGCCTCGCCGGGCTTCCCCAGCACGGGGCAGTTCTCCTTGTTGTTCAGCCCTGCAGGGCGGGATGGGGACTTCTTGAAGTAGCAGAGGCGACACACAGAGTGGTACTTGTCTGCTCCGCCAATCACCTCCACCTGGTGGCAGAGATGCAAAGAATGAGTGTAGAGAGGCCAGACCCAGGCGGAGCCCCTGCCCACTCAAGCCACAGGCCCCGTGGAGCTACCTCTTTCTCCAGGCCCAGCCTCTTGGTGTAGGAGGCTTCCCGGAAGCACTCCATGCACACGGCTGTCAGCTTTACCACACTCTCCGCCAGGGGTACCAGGTTCAAGATGGCACCGAAAGCCTGCATCCATAGAAGAGCACGTGTGCTTGTTACCCAGCCAGGCATAGACCTCCCCCACCCCCTCCCTCTGTCTGTCTCTCTTTCTGTCTTGGGGCTTGAACTTAGGGTCTAGGCACTGTCCCTGAGCATTTTTGTTCCAGGCTAGCACTCTACAAATTGAGCCACAGCACCACCTCCAACCTTTTGGAAGTTAATTGAAAATAAAAGTCATGTATTTTCATGCCTGGGCTGGCTTCAATCCTTGATCCTCAGATCTCCCCAAGTAGCAGGATTACAGGTGTGAGCCACTGGTGTGTGGATTACACCTCTTTTTATTTTTATTATTATTTTATTGGGGGGGGGGGGAATCCGGTTGTGGGGCCCAAACTCTGGGCCTGGGCGCTGTCCCTCAGCTCTTCAGCTCAAGGCTAGCGCTCTACCACTTGAGCCTCAGTGCCACTTCCAGCCTTTTCTGCTTATATGGTGCTGAGGAATCGAACCCAGGGCCTCATGCATGCAAGGCAAGCGCTCTACCACTGAGACACCTTCCCAGCCCTATACCTCTTTTTAAAAACCCTTTAATTCACAAGCAGCCAAGCCTGGGAAAATGCTCTGAGTTTGCCTTTCTAAAGCGTCATGGCCTGATCTGTCCCTTTGCCAACTTGGAGTAGCTGGCGGCAGCAGCTGGCATCTGGTCTGAACACATCCACTCTCGGGCGGACCAAGGAGGCCCTAGGCTCAGGCAAGCCCTGGCCTGGTCGGTTGGGTCAGGCCAGAAGGATGCAAGTGGACTGAGGTGTTGTGTCTGCTGAGGCGCCTCCTCTCCCCTGGCCCTCAGTGAGACTGGTTCAGGCTCCCCACCTTCCTCTGAAAGGTCCCGTCCAGGGCCGCCACAATCACCGTCTTGCCGCTGTTGGCCATGGTCTCGCAGAACTCCACGATGTCAGGGAACTGGAAAGACCAGTGTAGGGGGAGAGGGGGGGGAGCGGTCACCCTGAGCACTGGCTTTTAGAGCCAGATTCAACAACGCCAAACAGCCCAGAGCTTGCGAACAAAGTGACTCTCCCTCCCACAGATTCCTCATCTACACCCCTCCAGCTGAGGAGACGTCTCTGCTGCCCAGCCCCTTCCCCCCCCCTAGCCAGGTCCTGCTCCAAGCCTGGCAGGCAAGGCTGGGGGCTGCTGCAAATCAGGAGAGGCCTGGATCCTCCCTCTGTCCTCAGAAGGAATCCGCCCTGCCAACTTCTGGTCTCTACAACCGTCAGAATGAAGTATTGTTTTTGTAATTTTTTGAAGCCTTATCTGTAGCTGGACACAGATAGCTCAAGCCTGAAATCCGAGCTACTGAGGAGACTAAGGTCTGAGGATCTACGTCTGAAGCCAGTAAGGTCAGGAAAATCTGTGAGATTTTCATCTCCAATTAATCACCAACAAGTTGAAAGTGGAGCTGTGTCTTAAGGCTAGTAGAGTGCCAACCTGGAGCAAAATGCTAAGAGACAGCACCCAGGCCAGGCCCAGAGTGTTCAAGCTCTAGCATTGGCATAAAAAAAAGCCCAAATCCAAAAACCTACATGTATGAAGAATTGGAAGGATCTAGGCCCACATGGAGCAAGACGCTGCAGCTAGGAGCTGAGCTGGTAACCAAAGTCCCAAAGAGCATTAGTTTCATGAGCCAACACCACACCAGACCACTCAGGCCAGGATAAATCAGGACACCAGACACATCCCTCCCTAGGTGAAGGGAAGGACCACAGCATTGGCCTCCTCCTCCCAGTTTCCCACCCACAGGGGTGCTAAGCAGACATGAGGCTTTGAGCTCAAACCCCTAGTAGTGATAGGATGTATGTGTTGGACTTGAACCAGATTTCAAACTTGCTTGGCTTTTCTACTTATAGTTGGCACTGTGCCACAGCTCCATTTCTGACCACTTTTGGTGGTCATTTGGAGATAAGAGTCATTCATTCCTTTTTTTTTTTTGTCGGTCGTGGGGCTTGAACTCTGGGCCTGGGCGCTGTCCCTCAGCTCTTCAGCTCAAGGCGAACGCTCTACCACTTGAGCTACAGCGCCACTTCAGGTTTTCTGGTGGTTTATTGGAGATAGGAGTCTCACGGTCTCTCCTGCCTGGGCTGGCTTTGAACCGCGATCCTCAGATCTCAGCCTCCTGAGTAGCTAGGATTACAGGCGTGAGCCACCAGCGCCCGGCGAGTCACTCATTCCTGTCAGAGCTAGCTTCTCAGATCTCAGACTCCCAAGAATTTAGCTTTTTTTTTTTTTGGGGGGGGGGGGGTCTGGTCGTGGGCCTGAACTCTGAGCCTGGGCGCTGTCCCTCAGCTCTTCAGCTCAAGGCTAGCGCTCTACCACTTGAGCCACAGCGTCACTTCTAGCTTTTTTTTTTTGCTTATGTGGTACTGAGGAATCGAACCCAAAGCCTCAGCCATGCAAGGCAAGCACTCTACCACTGAGCCACCTTCCCAGCCCCTCCCAAGAATTTAGGATTATAGTTGTGAGTCATGTAGGCAAGGCTGACTTTGAACTTCTTGAAGAACAAAGGCCCAGTGCCTGGGAAAGATGGGTGGTTTTTATAATAGTTGTGGTAAATATTTGTTGAAGCTGGCTGTGGTGGCACATGCCTATAATCCAGCCCTTGGGAGGCTAAAGCATGAAGATTGTGAGTTTTGAGGCCGTGCAGTCAACAAGAAAATAATACATCATTTACTGAATGAACTAAAGTTTTTCTTTAGGGGAGGGAGGAAGTAGCTAAATTTCTATTACAGATAATAATGGAGATGAAGCCGGGTGCCAGTGGCTTATGCCTGTAATCCTAGTTACTCAGGAGGCTGAGATCGGAGGATGGAGGTTCAAAGCCAGCCCAGGCAGGAAAGTCCGTGAGATTCTCATCTCCAGTTAACCACCAGAAAACCGGAAATGTGCTGTGGCTCACACTTGTAATCTTTAATCTTAGGAGGCTGAGGATGGAGACTCAAAACCAGCCCAGACAGACAAGTCTAGAAACGGAGATGTGATTCCAGTGGTAGAGCGAGAGTCTTGAATAGAAAAAGAGCAGAGTTTCTGAATTCAAGCCCCAGTACTGGCACAACAACACTAAATTGTTAAACAAAAATGAGTATAGTGAGCCAGGTGTGGTATAGATGCCTGTGATCCCAGCACTCAGGGGGTTGAAGTAGATGAAAGGTAAACCCTTATGACAATAAGGAAAAAACTAGCCAGGGGGATTTGAAGGGTTTTCAGATGCTAACTGAACTATGTCAACCTTGTTACTTGACTGAAGATCAGACACAGAATTGATAACTTCCCAACCAACGGGGAGAAGGGGACAGAGGACTTACAAACTGCCCTTCATCGATGCCCACGACAGCCACACTCATGGCCTCCTGGACCACATCACGGAGTTGGCAGGCTGGCAGCGCCTCCATAGTGTTCCTGGGAAGAGAAGGCAAACAAGTCAGCAGAGTGAGCCTGTCACCAGACTGCAGTGCTGTCCATTAGTGCTGTCCTGAGAACCCCGATAGAAACTGCTAGGCTATTACTCTGTAACCATCTCTTTGACAATTCGACAAAGGAATCTGAGTTTCTGCCCAAATTCTCAGTGTTTGGCCTCTTCTATGCATTGCGCCATAAGGTTTGTAGGGGCTGTTATAGCCATTCTCTATTAGTACGTAGGTATTTATGTGTTTTTTTTTTGTTGTTGTTGTTGGTTGTGGGGCTTGAACTCTGGGCCTGGGCGCTGTCCCTCAGCTCTTCAGCTCAAGGTTAGCACTTTACCACTTGAGCCACAGCACCACTTCTGGTTTTCTGAGTAGTTTACTGGAGATCAGAGTCTCACTGACTTTCTTGCCTGAGCTGGCTTTGAACTGTGATCCTCAGAACTCAGCCTCCTGAGTAGCTAGAATTACAGGTCAGGTGTGAGTCACCAGCGCATGGCTTATTTATGTATCCTTTACTGTCACAGACAATGCTGCAACAGGGAGTAACATCAGAGATGCTCAAGTTCATCTTAACCAGACTTCAGTGAAACTAGAATGGATTCAGAGTTATCAGTTGGATTGTTCCGATAGAAATTAGTGATTAGCCAGGCCTGTGTGGCTCATACCTGTAGCTACTCACAAGGCCAAGATCTGAGGACTGAGGTTTGGAGCCACCTCAGGCCCAAGAGATTCTTATCTCCAATTAACCAGCAATAAGCTGGAACTGGAGGTGTGGCTCAAGAGGCAAAGTGCCAGCTACCAGTGAAAAAGCCAGTATCAAGAAGTCCTGAGTTCAAGTCCCAGTACTAACACCAAAAGGTTTTCCTTAGCTCAAAAGAAAAAAGTAGTTATTTAATACCATTGACCTCTCTTCACTTCACACAGTGGACTAAAAATAAATAAATGTTCAATGAAAAGGTCAATGAAGGCTCCAAAACTCCTCTGCCCTTCAGGACAGGGGCAGACAAGGCTGACTTGTTTCAGTGGTGTTAAGGATGACACCTGGAGTCCTAAGCCAGGCAGGCAAGCTCCCCACCCTTAGCTACACCCCCAGCCCAAGGCCAGTGCTGGCAAAACGTTTCCATTTCTTTTAAATTTAGAATAAAGCCAGGCACTGGTGGCTCATGCCTGTAATCCTAGCTACTCAGGAGGCTGAGGTCTGGGGATCACAGTTCAAAGCCAGTCTAGGCAGGAAAGTCCATGAGACTCTTTATGAAAAAGCAGGAAGTGGCGCTGTGGCTCAAGGACAGTGTCCAGGCCCGGAGTTCAAGCCTCAGGACTGGCAAAATAAAAAACAAAATCAAGAATAATATGGGAGAATGAATGCTGGGAGTGTAGTTTAGTGCTAAGTGTATCCCCAACTCAAAATAAAAACAAAGCAGTACTTTTTGTTTTTTAAATTGAAGAAAAGGCTCATCCAAGAAGACCACGTGTGGTGAGGAGCCCATGGGCACCACACGGAGGGCTCTGGCTCCGCAGAGAGAAGCTGCCAACACAACCAGCCCCAGTGACCTAGAACCCCTCCAGCTGACACCCAGCAGATTGAAGGGTTTCTCCGAGATCACGTGACTGTCCGCCAGCAGAGCCAGGGACTCAGGTCTTGGGTGCAGCTCTGCTGTCTCACCCAGACTCTACCCAGCCAAGTCTGCTCCTTTGAGGCCATTCCAGCATCATAAATCATGCCATGGCCCTCACCCCGCCCCCACAGCCAGAGCCTTTTCTGGGAAGGAATGCTGTGTGCTGTCCTCGGCTTGTCTAAGTAGTTTCTGTGTTTTCCTACAATGTTGTTTTCTTTTGTCCTCATTTTGCCTGATCTGCAGAACTAGACTACAGGGAGGCGCTATGGTGCATAGCTAGCTGCATTTATACAAAATTAAATACTTCATAACTACTGCTCAGTTATCTTCTCTTGATAATATAACCTCCAAACTCTGGGGAAAAAAATACCCACAGCATATTCAACTCCCTCTAGCCTCCCCTGGTGGAGAACACGGGAAGAGGAAGTCAGGCAAGGGCTCATCCCTGATGCTTTGTGGATGTCAGGCGTCTACACTGGTGACTTGTGACTCCCCCAGAAACCTCAGACCTGCCCCAACTCACAATCTGCATCTGGAGTTTTCTTCTGCTTCCATGAGATGGGCGCCTGAGCTGTGTGGTGGGACCTTGGTTAGAGAATGTGGAAAAGTAAAAAGACTTCTATCTCTGAGCCCATGGGAAGCAGTGCTCAAACCCAGGCCCTTACTGACTCCGAGCCCTGAGCAGTCTCTGCTCTACGCTCTGACCAGCTTCACCAAGCCCAGAGCTCCCACCAGGACCACATGCTGAACGCTGTTCTCAGTAGCCCAGGATGCACTACTGCACTCGGGCACAGCATAGCTTTGCTCCTGAGCATGGAGACAAGTGTGCCCCTGGCTCACAACACCAGTCCCAAACCCACTGCCAAGGAATTAAAGCTGACTCCAGCCCAGAGGTTACAGGCAGAAAAACACACAACCGTGTGTCCCTCCCCCACAGTGTAACCCCTGTTTTCACTATATTTGATGTCAGTATAACATGTGGAGGAGACAGGGACAAACAAGTCGTTTAAGGATTCAGGTGGACCTGTTGCAACAATGAGAAGTACAAAATGTCATGTCAAAACCAGCTTTACAATGTCGGTGGGGGGGGTGGGAGGGGGGGTATGATTGGGTGGGAGGGAGGGGGGAGGCTGGGAAGGGAGGTGAAGGGTAAACAAAGGAGGAGGATGCAATGCTTGGTAAGAAATGTATGCATTATCCTGCCCAAGTAATTGTAACCCCTCTGTACTGTATGTTCTCAAATAAAATAAAATAAAATTTAAAAAAAAAAAAAAAAGAAAAACACACAACCAAGAAGGCCACAAACAGACAGGGGGCCAGTTAAAGACAAATGACTATGAAATTAAAAATCAGTGAAGGTGCCGGTGCTGGTGGCTCATACCTGTAATCCTAGTTACTCAGGAGGCTGAGACTTGAGGATCAAGGTTCAAAGCCAGCTTAGGCAGGAAAGTCTGTGGGACTTGTATCTCCAATTAACCTCCAGGAAACCAGAAGTAGAGCTGTGGCTCAAAGTGATAGAGCACTAGACTTGAGTAAAAGAATTCAGGGACAGCGCCCAGGCCCTGAGTTCAAGCCAAGCAAATCTGTTTGCAGCCTCTGCACAGGTGAAAATTCTAAAGAGGGTTTCTCATCAATAGCAGGCAAGACAGACTTTTTGGGAGCAGATCATTCTTTGTGTTGCACTTGTGCAATCCTGGTTCTGTGGCTTGAACTCAGGGCTTAGCACTCACTGTCCCTTACCTTTGTCACTCGGAGCTGGTGCTCTGCTACTTGAATCACAACTCTACTTGCAGCTTTTTGGTTAACTGGAGATAACAGTCACATGGACTTCCTTACCCCAGCTGACATCCAACTGTGATCCTCAGATCTCAGCCTCCTGAGTAGCTAGGTAATAGGAAGGAGCCACCGGTGTCATGTGTCAGGCTTGGGACTAGATCGATCTGAGTGGTGGGGACTATGTAGGCCTTGGCAAGTACTCCACCCATTAGAGGCCAGCAGCCTCCACTCCCCCACCAGCTCTGACTACCAGAGATGACTCCAGATGGCCTGTGGGGGAGGGTCTGGACTCGAGCCCCAAGCATGGCCAAGTCTAGGCCACCAGAAGTTTGCCAACGCTTAGTGTTCGAGGCCAGGGGTGGGAGGACGGAGTACAGTATGTCCTGCGCGCGGGCAGGCAGGCGGCGGCGGGGCTGACCTGTCGTGGGTGGAGAAGTGGCTGCTGTAGCGGGTGTCCTTGGCATACTTGACGACCAGGCACTTGTGCTGGGCGATCTGGAAGCGCCGGACGCGTCTCATCAGCTCGGTGCTGCAAGATCGCAGGCCAGGTGAGGCCCGCGCGGCCCAAGCCGCGCTCCTGGCGGGCACTCCACCCGGGAGGAGGAAAAGGCGGGCTGGGCCGGGGCCAGGGCCGCGCCCGCGCCCGCGCCCCGGGGTCCGCCGTGGGGAAGCCGAGCCCGCCGCGGAACGCGCTTCCCCCGGGTCCGACCCTCCGAGGACGGGGCGGGGGTGGGGACGAGGCCTGGCCCGGGGCGGGCGCGGGAAGTAACTGCAGCCTTCCCGCCACACCGGGAGGGCCTCGGGGTGGGGTGGGGGTGGGGGGCGGCCCGGGGGGCTTCGAGGGCCGGGGCAGCGCGGAGGGGAGAGAGGAGGAGGAAGAGGGGGAGGAGGGGGGGAGGAAGAGGGAGGAGGGGAGGAGGAGGAGGGGGAGGCGGAGGTCGGGGGGAGGGGGAGGAAGGCTGGCGGGAAGGCGCGGGCCTGGCCCGGGACGCGCGGCCGGGAAGGACGCGTCCCCGCGACCGGCAGCCCACCCGCCCAGGAAGGCCCTTACCTCTTCCCTGAGAACATGGGCCCGAGAATCACCTAGGACAGAGGGAGAGGTCAGCGGGGACGCCCCGGCGCCGGCCTCCCCCCGACCCGCAGGACGGACCCCCCGCACCTGGATCTGCCCCCGGATCTTGCTGGGGGAGCCGGGCAGCACCGTGGGCAGGGTGACGCAGCTCATGCTGCCTGCCAGGATAGAAAGCGAGAAAGGGGAGAGGAGACGTCACGGGAGCCGAGACCCCCGGGCTGGCGCCTGAAGCTACCCGCCGGGTCGGCAGTCCCACACTTTAAACCCGAAGCCCGCTCGGACTGCGAAGCGCTGGCCAATCAGGAGCCGGCGGGAACACACTCCCCCGCTGATTGGCTCACCAGCCGGAGGGCGTGGCCCGCCCCTCGCCCCGCCCCTCGCCCCGGGTAGGAGCGCGAGAGTCGGCCGCCGGTGGCAGCATGGACGCGCCCTGGAGGGCCCTGTCCGCCGAGGTACGCGGGCGTGGGGCTCGGGGAGGGGGCTCGGAGCCGACCAGGCCTCCGGAAGCGTCGGGGTCGGTGCTTACGGCACTGGGGGCTGAGTTTCCCGTGATGTTGGTCCCGCGCCGCCCCGTGTCCGGGTCCGAGCTGCCCGGGTCGGCGGCAGAGGGACCTCCCCGGCCCACCCCACCCCGCGGGGGGCCGCGCCCACGATGGCGCCACCGGACACCCTGGGCCCCGGCCTGGCCCCGGGCGGTGGGCTGCGGCACCGGGGCGGTGGGGGGCTGCGGAGCTGCACGGGCTCGGCGCTGCGAGCTCTGGGTCTGGGGTCCCAGGCTGAGCGGCCCCGGCCTGGGACGCGCCTCCCGCGGCCTGGCCTGTGTCCCCGTCCCCCAGGAGCTGGAGAAGCAGTACTCGCCCAGCGAGTGGGTGGTCCGCCGGGGAGCCCAGGAAGCCCTGCAGACCTACTTACAGCTGGGAAGCGAAGGTACGGTGCGGCCCCGCCCGGCTGCCTCGGGTGACCTTTGGCCCTGCGGGAGCCGTCGCTATCTGGGGGCAGGGGAGAGCAGCCCCGGGAGGGCCAGCCTCCCGTGCTCAGGAGCCCAGGCTGCGGGGCTGAGTGGAGGCCAAAGAGGCGGGTGAGGGCTCAGCCAGCTCACGTCCACTTGGGATGTTATAACTGTTCCCTGGAGATGGGATGTTATTGCTGTTTTCAGACAACTCTTCAGGCTTTATTAGCACATTAATTGTACAGTGGAGCTTCATCTATTCTGTGCCTACATCCATAAAAAAGGTTCTTTGGTAGAATTCACTATTTTTTTTTCAATCCTTCCACCTCTCCCTTTCTGTTGCTGTTTTGGTCATACTGGGCCATCTGCTTACAGGCCCCACTTCCAGCCCTTATTCCTTTAGTTTGTCAGATAAAGTCTGAACAGTCTCAGCTCAGTCCTCCCAAGCCTCAGCCTCCTGCATAGCCGACATTACAGATGTGTGCTATAATGCTCAAGTTTGGGACCCTAAAGAGACCACAAGAGACCAAGATCGATGTAATCAGCAGCGAGGTGTTTATTGTGAGCTAGCCGGTCCTCTGTGCACACAGCACACAACCGGTGACGCTGAGAGGCCCCAACCTAGGGTTTGCAGCAGTTTTATACACTTTTGGCAAGGCTGGGGCTTTGCACTCATCATCATCATCATATCATTTCTTGACAAATCAACACACACTTCGAGAGAATCATAAAACATCTCTAAAACATGATTTGCGTGTCCAATGGCGGGAAGGAATCTAGAAAGGATTATTGGTCAGATCAAGGGGTTGATGCACTTTAAAATTATTGGTTAAGTCACAAGGGTGGTGCAAGGGAGTACCTGCAGAACTGCAGGACTTTTTCGTTAGATTTTGGTCACCACTCCTATATCTGGAATCACAGACAATTCCACCTCCGGCTTATCTTAGGTAAACATCACCTGCAGTTTTCCAAGTACTGTTTGCACATAGCTTTTTGGAATTTTCTGGCTTTAGGACTGCAGTAGTTCAGAGGTTAAATTCCAGAATAAAATGAGGTCCCTGGTAAACTAATGGTCAGGTCTTTCAGTGCCTCCTTCCGTTCTCTTCAAGATTTTGTGTGTGTGTTCTCCAGTGCCAGTGCTGGGGCTTGAACTCAGGGCCTAGATACTGTCCCCTAGATTTCTTGAGCTACTGCTCTACCCCGTAAGCCACAGCTCCACTTTTGGCTTTTTGCTGTTTAACTGGGGATAAAGAGCCTTACCAACTTCTGCACGGGCTGACTTCAAACCATGAATCCTCAGAAATCAGCCTTCTCATTAGCTAGGATTACAGGTGTAAGCCACCCACACCTGGCTAGTCAAAATTCATTTTACAGTAAAGAAAAATATACATCTATAACTATAATCAAAATGGGGATATATAAATAAGGATATAGACATATAGATTCTAGATGCAAATGGGTAAGTACTATGGTTCTTCTGTATTTCTAGGTTCTTAAAGTAATCATGTTTACCTGGTGTAGGAGGGCTGGCAGGGGCGGGGCAGGAGGAATGGGGAGTTAATGTTTAATGGGAAGAGGAAGTTCTGGAGGTGGAAGCTATGTGGATTAGACAATGTAAGTTAAGTGGATATTACCTGATTGAACTTAAAGCAGGTTAAAATGGAAGCATGTTATGCGTATTTTCCCACAATTGAAAATACTGTACGTCCATCGGAGCTTCGGCCTACTCCATCTAGCCCCTGGGAGCTCCAGTTCTTGCAAGTTTTGGCCTTGGCGGTGCTGGGCTCCGAGCGTGCCCCGTGCCTGGCAGCCATACTCTGGAGTATGTCAACTCTTGAAGCATGGAGAGCTCCTAGCAAACACCCTAAATCCCAGCCCACATGCAGTTCCTGTCCCAATGACTCCTATCTTCCCTTGCCTGACCAATCACCAGTGTAGATTGGTTGGTGGGACCTTGTGACTGGCAGCCACTGCCTGTCCCTGCCCAGCTGGCCTATATAAGCTAGTTGGCTCTGTAATTAGGATTTTCCCCTATTCACTGCAGGAGAGGGAGGAGAAAGTGGGGGGGGGAAGGGGGAAAGATAATGGGCACACAGAATACAAACCCAATCTTTTTTTTTTTTTGGCCAGCCCTGGGGCTTGAACTGGGACTGGGCACTGTCCCTAAGCTTTTCATGCTCTCAGCTGGCACTGTACCACTGGAGCCACAGCTCCACTTAGGCACTTTTGGTGGTTAATTGGAGATGAGAGTTTCGTGAACTTTCCTGTCTGGGCTAGCTTCAAACTATGAACCTCAGATCTCAGCCCTCTGAGTAGTTGGGATTACCGGCCTGAGCAACCAGTGCCCGGCTTACCTTGTCATTTTAATGTGTTCAGTTTGGTAGCTTTTGTGTATGTATGTGCCAAAACTGAGGCTTTGAAGTCCGGGACTTGAGCTCTTGTTTGGCTTTCTCTTTTTTGCTCACAGCTGTCTGTAGTATTTTGAATACTCAAATGTTGCCAGACCAACGCTGCCATCTTCCTAAACCTTATTGTCATTCATTCCAAAAGGAACCCCTATCCCTTTAGCAGTGACTTCTATTCCTCCTCCTGCTAATCCCTACTGCCTTTCCTTTGAGGAGGTTCTCTGTAGACAGTCATACCATAGGGGTCCTTTGGTGTCTGGCTCTTTTACTTAGCTGTCTTCTAGATTCATTTGTGCTGTCGCAGGTATTAGAACTAGATTCCTTTTTTTTTTTTTTTTTTTGTCGGTCATGGGGCTTGAACTCAGGTCCTGGGCATTTTTACTCAAATTTTGCTCTCTATTACTTTGATCCACAGTTCCACTTCCGGTTTTCTGGTGGCTAATTGGAGATAAAGAGAATCGTGGACTTCCTGCCTGGCCTGGCTTTGGACCTAGATCCTCATGGATCCTCAAATCTCAGCCTCCTGAGTAGGATTACAGGCATAAGCCACCAGCACCCAGCTAGATTCCTTTTTTTTTTTTTTTTTTTTTGGGTCCAGTCGTGGGGCCTAAACTCTGGGCCTGGGTGCTGTCCCTCAGCTCTTCAGCTCAAGGCTAGCATTCTACCACTTGAGCCACAGCGCCACTTCCGGCTTTTTTTCTTTTTGCTTATGTGGTGCTGAGGAATTGAACCCAGGGCCTCATGCATTCAAGGCAAGCACTCTACCACTGAGCTACCTTCCCAGCCCTAGATTCCTTTTTTATGCCCCAATAATATTCTGTTGAAGTGCACAATTTGTTGATCCATTCATGCATTGGCTACTTTGACCCATGAATATTCTAAGCAAAACCACTTGGCCAGATGTGAGCTAATGTCTCGCCTGTTGTCCAGAGCTCCTCATGGTCCAGCAAAGAACCCAGCCAGCCTGGTCCTTTACCACACTTTTTTTTTTGCCAGTCCTGGAGCTTGAACTTAGGACCTAGGCACTGTCTCTGAGTCTCTCTGTGCCCAAGGCTAGTGCTCTACCACTTGAGCCACAATACCACTTCTGGCTTAGTTTCTGAGTCTTTTATTGGAGAAAGAGTCTCACAGAGCCGGGCGCCAATGGTTCAAGCCTGTAATCCTGGCTACTCAGGAGGCTGAGATCTGAGGATCTCGGTTCAAAGCCAGCCCAGGCAGGAAAGTCTGTGAGACTCTTATCTCCAGTAATCCACTAGAAAACCGGAAGTAGTGCTGTGGCTCAAGTGGTAGAGCGCTCACCTTGAGCTGAGGGACAGTGCTCAAGCCCAGAGTTCAAGCCCCACGACCGACCAAAAAAAAAGAAAATAAAAGCGTCTCACAGACTTTCCTGCCCTGGGCTGGCTTCTGTGATGCTCAGATCTCAGCCTCCTGAGTAGCTAGGACTATAGGTGTGAGCCACTAGCACCCAGTTTTTACCATACTTTGAGTCTATTAGGTAATAATTGAAAATAGCCAGGCACCAGTGGCTCACACCTATAATCCTAGCTACTTTGGAGGGTGAGATCTGAGGATCATGGTTCAAAGCCAGCCCTGGCAGGGAACTCCACAATACTCTTATCTCCAAGTAGAGTTGTGGATCAAAATGATAGAGTACTAGCCTTGAGCAAAAGAGCTCAAGGACAGTGCCTGGCTTGAGTTCAAGCCCCACCTCCAACAACAAAATAAAAGACTAAATGCTAAGCTGAAGAGGTTAAGTGTTTGCCTAGCAGGATAGCAGCCCTGGGTTCAATCCACAGTAGCCCCCTTCCCCCACAAAAGGGCATATTTGATCCCCAGTACCATAAAGAAAGAAAGGAGTATTTTTTTTCTTTTTTCGTCTTTTGTTTTTTGGTACTGGGGCTCGAACCCAGGACGTTGTACTTGCTAGGCAAGTGCTTTGCCACTGAGCTACATCCCAGCCCAGGAGTATTTTTTCTTTTTCTTTTTGTCAGTCCTGGGGCCTGAACTCTGGACCTGGGCCCTGTCCCTGAGCTTTTCAGCTCAAGGCTAGCACTCTACCATTTGAGCCACAGCACCACTTCCAACTTTTTCTGCTTATGTGGTGCTGAGGAATCAAGCCCAGGGCCTCTGCATGCAAGGCAAGTGCTCTACCACTGAGCCACCTTCCCAGCCCCAATTTTCTGAAAAATATTCTTAAAAACAAGATTCAAAATTCTGTACTTATCATTCACAGTTTTTAAAAGATTCTCCTATTTTCTTTTTTTCTCGTAGGAAAAAACTTTCTGTGTAACAGAAATAGCATAAACAGCATTAAACATTCTAACCTAAAAGAATGACAGATAGGTGGTTAAGGCTCATACCTGTAATCCTACCTACTCAGGAGGCTAAGATATGAGAACTGAGGTTCAAAGCCAAGAGCCAATGAAACTTATGGCTAACCACCAAAAGCCAGAAGTGGAGCTAAGGCTTAATTGGTAGAGCACTGACCTTGAATGAAAAAGCCAGGGGACAGTGCCCAGTCCTTGAGTTCAAGCCTCAGTACAGGCACACACAAAAAAGTCTACCCAAATTCTTTAAGGTAGGCAGGTACCTAATGGTCTTTAAGAAGCCTTCTGGCCAGAAGTGGTGGCTCAGGACTGTAATCCTAGCTACACAGGGAGCGGAGGAAGGAGAATCAAGGTCAGTCTGGTCAAAAAGCAAAGGGAGTAAAGCAAAAGGGTCTGGAGGCGTGGCTCAAGTGGTCCAGCAAGTGTAAGGAGGCCCTGGGTTCATCGAGCTTCTAACAATCCCTTGTCCATTTCCCGAGGCAGCCACCAGCAAAGCCCGGGCCACCAGGAAGAGCCAGCTGGATGTCCCCTATGGAGATGGGGAAGGGGAGAAAGTAGACATTTACTTTCCTGATGTGGTATCTGAAGGTAAGCAAAGTGGGCTGCTGGCCTGTGGCCGCCCCCCAGGGCCCAGCCTGGCCCAGGGCCCAGCCCCACCCAGGACCCTCTGTTTTTTCTTGCAGCTTTGCCTTTCTTCGTATTTTTTCATGGAGGATACTGGCAGAGTGGAAGGTGAGCTGGCGGGTTCAGATGAATGCAGATTGGGTCTCGCAGGAGCAAGGTTTAGCACGTGGCCAGTGCGCCATCAGAAGCGAGGCCTCTGGGCTCAATGCTTTCTCAAAACTTTCTTCAATGTTTGGGCTTTTATAAACTTGTGTTCCTTACCCCTCACTGCACATGTACAGGCTGTAACTCAGCAAGCCTGGTTCCAACCACACCAGTGTATGCACTCACACCTCAGAGGCTAGGAGTCAGGCATGGGGCGCCGCGGGGGTCAGGCTGTCAGGGTGGGGTCTTTCCAGCCCCTATCGCTTCTAGTGGTCTCTTGGGTCCTCTGCCCACAGCCCACAGTGTCTGGGTCTTAAGTCTCCCTCTCTTTTTTCTTTTTCTTCATTGTGGGCGTCATTCACACTTGTATATAATATAGTCACCGATTTCGCACTCTTTCCTGGGGTTCCCCCACCCCTGTACCTCTATTGCTCCCTTGCCTTCAGTGAGTTCATCTTCATAGACACCATGGGTTTCCATATTATGTGTCCTCCACCATTCTTACCCCTCCTCCTCCCTCTTGTCTCTTGTCCCCCCCCCAGTAGTCCTGTTATGCTTATGTTCTCTTCTTCCTCCTACACACACACACACACACACACACACACACACACACACACACACACACACGAATATATAACTGTATCTTTTACAGTCTGTATTTTGCAAATGAATGGAAAATATTCAGTATTTAGCTTCTTGGCCTAGGTGCTTGTTTTTGCTCAGTGCTAGCACTCTACTACTCGAGCCACAGTACCACTTCCAGTTTTCTCAGTGGTTCACTGGAGATCAGAGTCTCACAGACTTTCCTGCCAGGGCTGGCTCTGCACTGCGATCCTTAGCTCTCAGCCTCCTGAGTAGCTAGGATGACAGGCATGAGCCACCGCCACCTGGCTTGGACATACTTTTTTGGGGAAACACTATTCACACCACACCCACCCAGAGGGAGATGGATTTGGCCAACTGCTGATCAAGAAAACCAGAGTGGCCAGCTGTCTCAGTAGTGTGCTCAGGAGCAAGAGGACACGGGGCTTTCAGTGCTCAAAGAGGAACGGCACAGCCAGGTGCTGGTAGTTTACGCCTATGGTCCTAGCTTGGTTCAAAGCCAGCCCAAGGACAGAAAGCCAAGCCTGAGAGACTCTTACCTCCAGCTACTCACCAAAAAAAGCTGGAAATGGAGCTGTGGATCTGTGGTAGAGCACTAGCCTTAAGCAAAAAAGCTCAGGGACAATGCCTAATCCTGAGTTCAAGCCCCAGGACTGGCACATAGCTAAAAAGGTAGCCCTTAGATAAAAAGGCAATGTTTGCCTCTGTTGTTCTAGCACTTTCTGAGGGAGTCTTGCCTCCTGATTGTAGCTGGGATTACAGATATGAGCCACTGCTTCTGGCCAACATATTCACCTTACTGCAGAGATCTTTGAACCCCTCATCTGAAGCTCTCAAAAGCAGGGAACATTATAAGAAGGCACATAGTTGGGCACCAGAGGCTTATGCCTGTAATCCTAGCTACTCAGGAGGCTGAGATCTGAAAATCACAGTTCAGATTAAAAGCCAGTCTGGGCAAAAAAGTCCCTGAGACTCTTATCTCCAATTAACCATAAAAAGACTGGAAGTGGGGCTATGGCTCAAGTGATAGAGCACTAGCCTTGAGCCAAAAAGCTCAGGGACAGTGTCCAAGCCCTGAGTTCAAGCCTCAATACCGGCGTGTGCGCACATATGCACACAGGGGACATAACTGTTGGGATTTTACTGGCAAGGGAACCAGGCTTAGAAGTTAAAGTCCCAGAGTTCCCTTGGCTAACATACAACATGATGAGGACGCAGCTTTCCCCCTATCCTACCATGACACGCAGTGTGTCCTGGACTTAGGGGGGACAGGACCAAGGCCAAGTGGCCTCCACTGTTACCTCTTGTCTCTGCAGTAAAGACCAGTCTGCCTTCATGGTCAACCCACTGACAGCACATGGGGTGGCCGTGGTCATCGTGGCTTATGACATTGCCCCCAAAGGTACCAAGGGTGGGCTTTGCCAGTTCAAGGGCCAGGGGGCTCCTTTGCAGGGAGACAACTTCCCAGTGGATCCTGACTCGGCCCCTGCTCTTTGTTCAGGCACCATAGACAAGATGGTGGACCAGGTGGCCCGCAGCATCGCCTTCGTGCAGAAGAGGTTTCCAGAGAACAAGTGGGTGTCACCGCAGCGCTCTGCTGGGCTGTGCCAGGCGGGTGGAAGCAGCCATGCTGCCCCTGTGGCCTGCGGTCCACGGGCAAATCCGGGCCGCTGATGCCTTGGGGAAAGAAATACAAACCCAGCTCTCTGTCTGACCTATCCTAGAGGCATTTTCCTGTGTGGACACTCAGCCGGGGCTCAGCTGGCTGCCATGATGCTCTTGGTTAACTGGTCCACGCATGGAGTCACACCCAGTCTCAAAGGTTTCTGTGGGGACTGCAGGCGCCCTTGGGCCATCAGCTCCAAGTCCTCATAGTCACGAGTGGCTTGATCCTGGAGCTTTGAGCCGCAGGAGTGTCTTTGCCTTCTCTCTGTCCCCTCCCCGCCCCGCCCCCAAGCTTGCCTCTCTGACCTGAAGGCTCACCTGGTCCCTGTCCCCAAGCCTTCCTTTACCTCCGTAGGGTTTTTCCTGATGAGTGGAATCTATGATCTGGAACCTCTCCTGTCCACCTCCCAGAATGCCCCTCTCCACATGACACCGTGAGTCACCTGCCTTCCCTTCCCTGCTGACCTAGGGGCTGGCTGTGCCTCTGTCCTGACCCTGGTCCCCCTCCCAACCCACCAGGGAGGATGCTCGGAGGAACAGCCCACAGCGGCACCTGGAGGTGGCCCCGGTGAAGCCTGGGAATTCTACCTGCCCTGTGCTGGTGATTGTGGGTCAGCACGACTCCCCAGAATTCCACCGGCAGTCCTGGGAGTTCTATGAGGTATCTGGCTGGCGGTCAAGCTCATGTGACCTCATTACTTTCCCTGTTAAATACTTCCTGTGTCCTGACCTGCCAGGCACTGTGGGAACCATCTCCCCACGCCTACCCTCCCCCACCCCAGCCTCAGACAGCCCTCATCTCCCTCGTCTCTCCTACCCAGACACTGTGCCAAACAGGGTGGAAAGCCTCATTTGAAGAACTGCCCAGCGTGGATCACTTCGAAATCATTTGGAATCTGACCCGGGAGGAGGACAGACTCAACCAGGTAGGGCCAGGCCCTCCCACAGGAACGGCAAGGGGCCCCATCTCCAAAGTTAAAGGTAAATGAGAGCAACACTTGCCATGAAATTGGCAAATGTAGAGGTAATCTTTTGCCTTTTTGCTTTTTTCTGGGGAAGGGGCATTCGTTAGCTTGTTTTTGTCTTGGTTTTTCAGCGTGTTTTTTTTTTGTTTGTTTTGCCAGTCCTAGGACTTGAACTCAGGGCCTGGACGCTGTCCCTGGGGTTCTTTTGCTCAAGGCTAGCACTCTACCTGCCCCTTGAGCTACAGCACCACTGGGTTTTTTGTTGCTTTGTTTTTTTGTTTTTTTTGTAGTGTGGTACTGAGGCTAGATGCCAGGGCCATGCCAGGCTAGTGCTCTATACTGAGCTACACTCTTAGCCAACTACTTTATTTTGGGGGAGCCCGGTCCTGGAGCTTGAACTCAGGACCTGGGCACTCTACCACTTGAGCCACAACTCCACTTCTGGCTTTGTTGTTGGCTAATTGGAGAGAAGAGTCCCATGAACTTTCCTGCCCAGGGTAGCTTCAAACTGTGATCCTCACATCTCAAGTCTCCTAAGCTGTGATTGCAGGTGTGAGACAGCAGTGCCCAGCTTTCTTTTCTTTTTCCTTCTTTCACAGGATAAACACCCATAAAAACTTAAAACCCTAAGAAACAATACCCCATGTCTTTAAGCTGTTACTCCAGTTCCAGGGCTCTCGTCTTTTCTTGTACTGTAGATCATTCTGAAAACCATCTTCAGTAGGGCTGCAAGCCCTCTGCTTCCCAGAAAGCCTTTGGAGGTAAAGGCACAGCACTGACCTGCGCACCTGGCTCTGAGGTTCTGCTCCCTGCTGTGAATGTGGCTAATGTTCTTCCAAGTTCCCCTGGCCCCAGCCTTGAAGAAGCTTCAGGCAATATCCACAGTTCAATCTGAGATGCCTGAAGCCACCACTTGGCCATGTCTGGCCCTTCTGCCTACTGACAGGGTGTGTGTGACAAAATGACTTCTCTCTGGAGTGACTTGTGGAAGCTATGAATACCAAAAACGGAGCTGCTGGGGCCAGGAAGAGGATGAGTGTTTGCTCAGCATATGTGAGGCCAAGTTCCATCCCCAGCACTTGGGAAAAAAGTGAATAAGGAGTCTTAAACTAGGAACTGGTTGCTGATGCCTTGATCCTAGCTAGTGAGGAGTCTGAGATTTGAGGATCATGGTTTGAAACCAGCCTAGATAGGAAAACCTATGAGATGCTTATCTCCAATTAAGCACCAGAAAGGCAGAAGTAGAACTGTGGCTCAAGTGGCAGAGCACTAGCCGTGAACTTTTGCCCAAGCCCCAGGAACAAAAGGAGCCTTCCCGCCTGTGTGCCTCTAAACTACTGCCATGAAGTCCTTGAGTCAAAAGCATTCCAGACAAGTAGCACGCACCAGCACTTGTGTGAATGTTTTCTCCACCAGACCCAGCCAACCTCTGTGACAAGCTCTGCAAACAGTCGTTTCCCAACAGTTGGTGTGAGTCAGGTACTAGTGGTTCATACTAATCCTAGCTACTCAGCAGACTGATATTTAGTGGATGATGGTTCAAGTCCAGCCCGACAGGAAAGTCTGAGGAACTCCTAAAATAACCAGCAATAAGCTGGGCTAGAAATGAGGCTTAAGTGGTAGAGTGACAGACAAGTGATCGTAAGGCCCTGAGTTCAAATCTGTGCCAGCAATAGCTGGTGTGGATTCTTCCTTTTTTGCCAGTCGTGGGGGCTGGGCGCTGTCCCCCAGCTCTTCAGCTCAAGGCTAGAACCCTACCACTTGAGTCACAGCACCACTTCCAGCTTTTTTTCTCCTTATGTGGTGCTAAGGAATCGAACCCAGGGCCTTATGCATGCAAGGCATGCGTTCTACCACTGAGCCACCTTCCCAGCCCCCCTTTACTTCTTTTTTTTCTATTCAAGGCTTTCCTGTCACAACTGGCAGGTCTTCCCCTCACTCTCCTGTGAGCCTGCCATGGTGGTGGCCTGGCCCCCGTCTTCTGGGTGCAAAAGGGGGCTCTCCTGGAGACCCAGGCCTCAGCACGCAGTAGTGTCAGCTGTGTCTCTGCTCTCCTTCCATAATTACAAATTGTATTTGTATTTTCATTTTTGCTTTTATGCAGAGGTAGGGCCAAATCAAACTGCTTTCTAGCTGTAGCAGGACATGCTATGGCCTGCTGGAAGTTCTTTGGCTGCCCAGCATCCTGAACCCACCCACCCCACCCCTGGATTGATCCTAACACTTGACGGCACCCTGACTTCTGTACCTTCCAGGTTTCCTCCTAAGGCTTTGGGCCTTCATTTGTTCAGCTATCAAATCCTCTGGCAGGTATCTCAACAGACAGAGTCCAGCATGTCGACATAGGTCCAACCACGTAAAGAAATTTATTGAATAAACAACATGGGAGTAACTGGCTAGACCTGGGAAAACATAAATCTGAACCCTTTCCACAGCTCTTTCTCGTTGACTTTCTTCCCCAGGGGGCCAAGACTTCAGTATAAAAACCCAGACCATGGAAAAAACCCAAATCTTTTAGGAATATCTTTGTAAATCACCTTAGAGTGTAAAAAGCTTTTCAGAGCACACAAAAACTTGAGGTCAGAAAGGAAATAAATATGACTGTAAAAATCTCAAATTTGCCATGTGTTGGTGGCTTATGCCTGTAATCTTAGCTGAGATTTGAGGATTATGGTGCTAAGCTAACCCAGGCAGGAAAGTCCATGAGATTCTTGATTCCCAATTCACTACCAAAAAACCAAAAATGGCACTGTGATAGAGTGCTAGTCTTGAGCAAAAACAAACCCCCAGACAGCATCCAGGCCCTGAATTAAAGCCCCAGGACTGGCACCAAAAAACAACCCTCAATCTTTTTCTGGACAAAAAAAGATGCCAGGATGTCAAAAGACAAAGAACAATGAATGTGTATGCCTGTGAGGCTGGGTGCCTCAAATCTAAGACCCTTCCCAACCAAAAGGAAGCCACCAGGAAGGACAGCACAGGACTAGCAGGCTTGGGCAAATCCCAGGCAAGAAATCACATTGACCCCAAGAGGTGCTCCACTTCCATCAGACAGACCAATGAAAACAAGCTATTGTGTACTCTGGTGGGCAAAGATCAAAATGGATGCTGTTATTCAGTGCTGTGGGTAAACAAGACCTCTGGGAACATCAAATAGTCTTGACCTTTCTGCACGACAATAGGCAATCAAAGCAGCACAACCTTACACTAGCCCCCCATTCCACCCCGTGGTCTTTGATAGTCTCTGAGCATGTAAGGCTCAGATTTTCCCCCACCAGTAAGTGGGAGGAGTTGATGACATATATGTCACTCTGGAGTGATACATCTGGTTCCCCAGTGCTGACCACCTCCATGTCCTCAGACTCCAACAGAAGCCTGAGGTCTTGGGACCTCCAGCTGAGCTCCTTCCTAAGCCTGTTCACTGTCCTCTCCAGAGAGCATTTCTGCTCTGCTTTGACTTGACATTAATAAGCTTCCTCCTCTGTGTCCTTGAATTCTTTCTTGAACAAGACCAAGAACTTTCTGGCTGGGATCCATGGACCTAAATCCAGTGAGAGGTTCACAAAATTGACAATGTTCTTGTTAATCTGAAAAATAAACCCAAGCTACCAGCTTATCAAATTCATGCTGTTGGCAGATGAACAAAAACAAAATTTGTTAACAGCTAAAGCTGCATAGTAATGTCTGCTAAACTTGATACAAGCCTCAGGTGTTTCTAAGTTTTTATTTTTTGCTGGTCCTGAGGCCTGGACTCAGGGCCTGGGTGCTGTCCCTGAGCATCTTTTGCTCAAGGCTAGTACTCTACCACTGGAGCTACAGCTCACTTCTGTCTTTTCTGATGGTTAAGTGACTAAGTTTCATGGCATTTCCTGCCTAGGCTGACTTTGAACCACAATCCTTAGATCATGGCCTCCTGAGTGGCTAGGATTACAGGAGTAAGCTAACAGCACCTAGCAAGACATTTTGGTAAACAGTTTACCAATGTTAAATGTTACTGTTGTATAGAAGTAACAATAAAACTTTTTAATTTAAAGTAAAAGATCTAAGCAACTCAAGTTTTCAGTGAAAGATGAAAAAACTTTGGAATTTACTTGTGTCAAACAGGAAATGATGACAGGAATCCATTTGCTTGATGGGAGTTGATTCTGGATGGTAACTTTTTTGCAATAAATGTCAGTATTGGTGGGTGCTAGGGAGGAAAGAGGCAGGGTCAGCACCCGTAGGGACAAGAAGGCAGAGCAAGCTGTGTTCCCTGATTATGGCTGAGATGGGTGTAGTTTACACAATCTCTTTGGAGGACAGATTAACTGTGCACAAACACTTTGAAAAGGAGTACATGCATTTTCTAGCCATCTCCAACAAAGTGTATCCTACTCAGAGTTGCACATTTGCATATGCTTATCTCCTGCTGTTCAAGTCCCATAGTAAAGGGAGCTGGAGGAAAATGGGTTAAAGTCAGTAGGCATGTCAGAGTTTGAGTTCTCTGTGATTTCCTGCTACCTGAGTAGGCAAGGTACCAAATAAGAGCATAGAGTATATCCCTACTCATATACATGTATCTGTAAGGACATATAAGTTGCTGAAGCCAGATGCCAGGGACTCATTCCTGTAATTCTAGCTACTCAGGAAGCTGAGATAAGGACCAAGGTAGAAACCTGCCAGGGTAGAAAAGTGTGAGACTTACCTTCAATTGCCAGGGAAAAAGAAGCTGGACTACAGATATGTCTCAAGTGGTTTAGTACCAGCCATGATCCAAAAAGACAAATGAGAACTGTCCCAAGTTCCTTGTTCAAGCCCCAATGTCGCTACAAAAAAAAAAAAAAGTTGCTGAAAAGCCTTTGAAGACGAGCTAGAGGTTCTGAGTAACACATTTCTGCCTTTCCTATGCAACCCAGACTAGCCAGGAACTCATTATGATGCTCAGGCTAGGCTCAGATTCCTTTTTTTTCTTTTTGTGCCAGTACTGGGCTTGAACTCAGCTTTTTCACTTAAGGCTGGAGCTTTACCACTGGAGCCATAGCTCCACTTTTGGCTTTTTGGTAGTTAACTGGAGATGCAAGAGTCTTAGAAACTTTCCTGTCCTGGCTAGTGTGAGTCACCAGTACCCAGCTGGGTCTGAATTCATCATCCTGTCTCCACCTCCCAGAGTTTGGATTATAGCTGTGTATCACCATGCTTGGCTTTTCATTAGAACTTTTTTCTTCTTCTTCACTGTTGATGTGCTTTACTCTTATAAAACAGGACATTTTGTTGCTGTTAGAACTCAGCAAAATAAAATTCCGTTTATTTTTGGACAACATGGTTTCACATATATATCAAACAGGCCCAAAACAAAGATCTTTTGCTGTTTAACTCTCTAGCTTATATAAGTACATACACAAAAAAGTTACAGGGAAGGGGGCAATGTTTAGAATAAGCATGAATCTAATGTGCTGTTCTCCAGCTGCTGCTGTCAATCATGGTGTAGGAAAAGCAAGACACTGCTCACCACTTGTGACACTGGCCCGACGGCTTGGGTCAGGACACCACTACACACAACTGTTTCCCTATCAGGATGATTTCATACCCTTTGGTAAAATAGCACTGCCCTGAACCCGTTAGAAGAAAAAGCTCCCTGTTTCAAGGTGGGCAAGATGGCTCATGCCTCTAATCCTAGCTACTTAGGAGGCTGAGATCTTAGGATCGAAGTTCAGGTAAGCCAGCCCGGGCAGGAAAGATCACGAGGCCTTTTTTTGTGTCCTGGGGCTTGGACTCAGGGCCTGGTTGCTGTCCCTGAGCTTTTATGGACATTCTACCACGTTGAGCCACTGCTCCACTTCCGGCTTGGGGTGGTTCAAAGCCCGGTCTGGCTTTGACCACGAAGCTCGGCCTCCTGAGTAGCCACCAGCGCCCGGCTTGACCAGGAGGCTTCCCTACAACTACCCACCAAGAGGCTGAGGTGGAGCTGTGGCTCGGGTAGAGCGCTACGGCCTTGGGCAGAAAGGCTCCGGGCCCGCAGCACGCAGGCCTGGGCGCAGGTCTCGCCACCGGCTCCGCACGCAGCCCCCGGCCGCTCCCACGGCGGCCTGCCCACCTCCCACAGGCCCGCTGGCGGGGACCAACCCGCGGGAGGGGCGGCCCTCACCAGGGCGCGGGCGTCCGCACAGGCCTTCCGGCGCGCGGGAGCGGGCTGGGCCTCCGCCTCGCCGGGGAGTGCGCCCCGCGGCCTCCCGCCGACCGCGGCCTCCGCCGGGCCCGGCCCCTCGGCCGAGCACTTCCGGTGTGGGGAGGGGGGGATCCTCCGGCCGGCGCGCCGGTCCTGAGGACCGAGGGAGACCGAGAGCCGCGGCGCGGCCCGCACGGCTACTCCCACAAGCCCAAGCGCGGCGGCCGGGACGGAGGGCGGGGCGCTCCCGGCAGGCCCCGCGCCGGGCACTCCCGGCAGGCCGCGGGCGGGCCCTCGGGGCGGGGCGCTCCCGGCAGGCCCCGCGCCGCGCCGCCGCCCGCCGGATTTGAACGTCGCGGCTGGTCGGCGGCGGCGCCATGGGAGCTCCGTCGTTGCCTCCGGCCTGGCAGCTGTACCTCAAGGACCACCGCCTCTCCACGTTCAAGAACTGGCCCTTCCTGGAGGGCTGCTCCTGTACCCCGGAGCGGGTGAGCCGGCCCGGCCTCCCGTTCTCCCCGCCAGGTCCGCCCCGCCGCGGCCCGGCCGAGGCGCCACGCCCCTCCCGCCCGGCCCGGCCTTCCCGGGGCCCCTCCCGGCCCGACCCCGGCCCCGACCCCGGCCCGGCCTTCCCGGGGCCCCTCCCGGCCCCGGCCCCGGCCCGACCCCGGCCGAGGCGCCACGCCCCTCCCGGCCCCGGCCCGACCCCGGCCTTCCCGGGGCCCCTCGCGGCTCCGGCGGCTCCGGACGCCCCCTCGTCGGGGGCTGCCCGCTCCGCGGTGGCCGCCACTCCCGTTCTAACTGCTGTTTCTTGCAGATGGCCGAGGCCGGCTTCATCCACTGTCCCACCGAGAACGAGCCTGACTTGGCTCAGTGTTTCTTTTGTTTAAAGGAGCTGGAAGGATGGGAGCCCGATGACAACCCCATGTGAGTCCTCCCGGACCAGCCTCGGTGGGGCCGCCTGGGGACCCTGGCTCCCACCGGAAGCCTTTCGTGTGAAGTGGGCGTGGGGTTTGAGTTTCTCGGGTGATTCTGCCTAACCTTACCTACACCTTAGCCAGCTGTTGGGGACAGCTTCATCTTCATGCACCTAGCCAGATCTGATTTGAATGTTAAAGGCCCATCCCTAGAGAGTGTTTGATGCCATTTGAAACTCCAGCAGGATACAGAACCTACTTCTGGCCTGTGGGTACCCAGGAATCTGCTGATGCTTTCTGCAACTTGGATTTTTACTTATTACTTTGTGTGTGTGTGCTGGTCCTGCGAGTTGAACTCAGGGCATAGGCACAGTCACTGGGCTGTTTTGCTCAAGAGTAGCGCTCTACCACTTGAGCCACAGCTTGACTTCCAGCTTTTTTGGTGCTTAATTGGAGATAAGAGTCTCATGCACTTTCTAGCCTGGATGGGTGTCAAACCTTAATCCTCAGATCTCAGCCTTCTGAGTAGTAGAATTACAGGCATAAGCCACCAGCACCCAGCTCTGGAACTTTTATTAATTTACTTACTCATTGACTTATTTTTTTGTGCTGGTACTAGGGCTTGAACTCAAGTTCTTGGACTTTCAGCTATTTCTGCTCAGGGCTAACACTCTGTCACTTGAGCCACATCTCCAAGCTGGCATTTTTCAAGTTAATTGGAGCCTCTCAGAGTTTTCTGCATGGGCTGGCTCCCCTGCCCCTTTTCCCCACCCTCTCTTTTTTATTTTTTGTTTTTTTTATTTTTGGGTCCGGTCGTGGGGCCTGAACTCTGGGCCTGGGCGCTGTCCCTCAGCTCTTCAGCTCAAGGCTAGCGCTCTACCACTTGAGCCACAGCGCCACTTCTGGCTTTTTTCTTTTTGCTTATGTGGTGCTGAGGAATCGAACCCAGGGCCTCAGGCATGCAAGGCAAGCGCTCTACCACTGAGCCACCTTCCCAGCCCCCCCCACCCTCTCTTTTTGGTTGTGGGGCTTGAACTCTGCCCTGTCCCTAAGCACTTTGAACCATAGCGCCGCTTCCAGTTTTCTGGTGGTTAATTGCAGGTAAGGTGTCTCACAGACTTTCCTGCCCAGGCTGGCCTTGAACTGTGATCCTCACATCTCAGCCTCCTGAGTAGCTAAGATTACAGGCATGAGCCACTAGTGCCTGGCGCTGGTTTCTCTTTCTATATTGTTTTCTCAGCTTCTTTTTCCTGTCAAAATTGATTGCTTCCACAGCATTAATTCCCCCCTACAAACACACACACACCAGAGGAATCCCCAAACTGTTTCTCTCGTCAGAAATGTTGTTTCTCCCCTATTGTGACCAAGTATTGAATGAGATGGCCAGGTGGTTACACCAGAAATCAGTGGGAAACATCAGTATTGTTTCCTAGCATCATGACATTTTTCCACTGTAGTTACGTTGCCTGTTCTTTTGTACCTTGTGTGGCTGCCTTCACTTTCTAGTTCTGAGCTGGTTACAGTGATGTCTGCTATCGAGGGCTATTCCTTTTGCAGAGAAAGGGGGTAGGAAGGAGAGGAAACCCTCGGGTGACCTGCTAAATTCAGCGTTGCTCTGAGCCAGTGCACAATGGGCATCCCTGTGAAGTTATTTCCAATGGTTCCTTGAGGACTTTAGAAGGTTTCAAGTCATAATTCTTCTGTGTTTTGAATCATACAATACTTTTCTGACTTGCTAAGAGACTCTAGATAGAAGAGTCTAGCTGCCGGGTTTGAGGAAGCACATACAGAACAGAGTGTGGGGCTGTGCCTGGCACCTTATTCTTCAAGCCCTGAGGTGGCTGAGGGTGATGGGAATGGATCTGGTCATGAGCCCTTGCTGTTTTTTGTTTTTGGTCGATTGCAGGGCTTGAACTCTGGGCCTATGTGCTGTCCCTGCGCTCTTTAGCTCAAAGCAAGTGCTCTGCTGCTTGAGCCACAGTGCCACTTCTGGTTTTCGAGTGGTTTATTGGCAATAAGAGTCTCACGGACTTTCTTGCCCGGGCTGGCTTTGAACCGCAATCCTCAGATCTCAGCCTCCTGAGTCGCTAGGATTACAGGCATGAGCCACCGGCGCCCGGCTGCCCTTGCTGTTTTGCTGACATATGTGTGTATTGGTTTTTCTAGAGAGGAGCATAAGAAGCATTCATCTGGGTGTGCATTCCTTTCTGTCAAGAAGCAGTTTGAAGAATTAACCCTGGGTGAATTTTTGAAGCTGGACAGAGAAAGAGCCAAGAACAAAATTGTACGTATCCTTGGGATACAAACCCTATCCACTAGAAGGACTCATGCAGAGGACTGGTTCTCAGAGCCCCGAGGGAGGGCGAGGGGGGTGCATGGGACCAAAGGACAGAGCCACAGCTGTCCTGGCGTGGTCTTGGGTTTGGCCGTAGGAAGACCCGAGCTCTTGGGAAAGGTATTCAGTATGTGCTCCTGGGTTGGTGGAGAAACGGCTGTCATTTGGTCACCCTCCTCTTCCTCAGTGACTTGATGTGACTGTGCTTATGTGGGGGCATTGGAACAGACAGAGGGTTTGGGGCCATATAGAAGGAGGACCATGTTGAGGAAGGGAAGGAGAAGCAGAGGTCCAGCCGGACCCGGAGGACTTCTGCAGCTCTGCTTTGCCCCTTATCCACTGTGGTTTGGGAGAAGGAAGTAACTCTGAGTCACAGAGAGGTGGCCCCAAGAAGCGTGTGTGAGAAGAGGAGTAATTTTTGAGTGGAAGCATAGTTTACATTTTGTGTGAGCATTTACCAAAAATTAATCATTTGTCTGAAGTTCACATCTAATGGGGCAGACTCTATATTTGTAAATGCTAAGATAGGCAGCCCCATGGCTCTTGGGGAGGCTGGAGACAGAACATGCCATAGCTCTGATTCAGGTCCTGCTTCCATGCAGATCCTCTAGTTTTGTTTTTGTTTTTTTGGGGGGGGTCCCAGCCCAAGATCCTCTAGTTTTTGAAGCAACAAAATAGGAGAGTCAATTGGAATGCAGATGAGCTTAGGGAATGAGCTTATTGTGAAGATACACAGAGCCTTTTTCCTGAACGGTTTGTGAAACTTGTGAGGAAGATTGCGTAAAGTGCCAGAGACGGCAGGCCTGAGTGTGACCAGCAGTGCAGTATTGCCTTCTGTTTTTGTTTTATTTTTTTTGTCAGTCGTGGGGCTTGAACTCTGGCTTGGGCGCTGTCCATGCACTCTTCAGCTCAAGGCAAGTGCTCTACCGCTTGAACCACAGTACCACTTCCGGTTTTCTAGTGGTTTATTGGAGATAAGAATCTCACGGAGGGTCTGGGAAGGTGGCTCAGTGGTAGAGCGCTTGCCTTGCATGCATGAGGCCCTGGGTTCGATTCCCTAGCACCACATAAGCAAAAAGAAAAAAGCCAGAAGTGGCGCTGTGGCTCAAGTGGTAGAGCGCTGGCCTTGAGCTGAAGAGCTGAGGGACAGCGCCCAGGCCCAGAGTTCAGGCCCCACGACTGGACCCCTCCGCCAAAAGAAAAAAAGAATCTCACGGAGTTTCCTGCCTGATCTGGCTTTGAACCGTGATCCTCAGATCTCAGCCTCCTGAGTAGCTAGGATTACAGGCGTGAGCCACCGGTGCCCGGCTTGCCTTTTGTTCTCGAGACAGTGTCTCACAAGGAAGCCCAGGCTGGCCTCAAATTCATGGTCCTCCTGCCTTGGCCTCCTGAGTGCTGAGTTAATAGGTGTGGGCCTACACCTGCGTTGCCACGATCATCTGTACATATCATTAAAGCTGAGTCCCCTGCAGTGGGGCAGGGTGAGAGCAGCAGCAGCTCAGGGGAGGGGAGAGGGAAACCTTCTGTGCTTTTTCCATCTTTCCATTCTTAGCAAGCAGTTTAATGACAAGACTCGCTCCCTGTGGCCGTGCGTTCCTCCAGCACAGTGCACTGGCTCTTAGGTACTCGAGGATCCCGTTTTCTGCTCGTACGCTCAGGGTGCTTGCTTGTTTCATGTGAATATGTGAATATTTTGATTGCCAATTCCTGGGCAGACCCAAGGGGTCCCACTGCTAAACAAGAGCCCTCCTTCTGAGAGCCCCACTCTGGGCCTGAAAGACTCCTCATTATTTTCAGGCCAAGGAAGCTAATAGCAAGCTAAAAGAATTTGGAGAAGCTGCGGAGAAAGTCCGCAACGCCATTGAGCAGATGAATGCCTTGGAGTGAGTGCCTGCCACACCACCTGACCCCACACAGCGACACGCCATGTCCAGGCCTATTCCTTTTCCATGACACCGAAGGCCAGGAGGATGGCAGCATTATGAAACTGGACATTATCTCTTTAGTTTTGCTTTTGCTGGGAAGTGGTGCCAGCGCCTCTGCCCGGAAGCCAGGCTCTTGGCTGCCCTGTCCACTTCCCTTGTGCTCTGTGGCTTTGCTGGGTGCTGGGTTAGCAGGTGAGGAAGAGGGCAGTGTCCTGTGGCTGGAGGCAGGGGGAGGGGTGCCCACAGAAGGAGTTTCTGGTCTTAGCATTTGTTTCCAATACGCCTGTTCTGTGAGCCTGGGTGGTGGGGTTAGCCGCTCACTCACTTGACTTTCTAATGTGAATTTTCCTAAGGAGGGCAACGGAATAAATTAATCTTTAAAAAGTGGCCTGGAAACCCTTTCTCTTTTGAGGAAATTGGTTTCGTTTGTTTTTTTTTTAAATAACTTTGTTCCTATTTTCTGCTGTTTTACAAGGTCATAAATCCAGTGAGTTTTAGCTTCAGCCCCAGCACAGAGTAAGTAGGGCTTGGACAGTCATAAAAAGGCTGCTTGGGACCCCCGCTCTTGGCTTGGAGCCCCCTCCCCCTCATCAGGATGCTTGCCTGTGGCGTGGCTGGGCATCCAGAACCACTGTCTCCTTGTCTGCCCCCACATCCTTGTGCATTTTTTTTCTTCTTTTGATAGGTATGTGGATTTGTCTGCCAAGGTAGGGCATCCAGACAAAGCCTTCATCATTTTTTCCGAATGGCTTTCAGTGTGGTTTTCTTGTTTGCAGTGCTGTTTTTCAGAACAGTACCAGGTGCTGTGGGAAATAAGTGTAATTTCATCCTAAGCTGGGAGTAGTAAGCTAGTGGGGTTTCTTCATGTGGCTCCAGAGAGGTCAGGCAGCAGGAGATCTCCAGAGGAGCTTGTTCCCAAATAGCTGCGTTCCTTCCTGGCTGAGCAAGCCCTAGGGTGATCCCTGTGGTTCCTGCGAGAGACGGAGGGTAGAGGCCCAGTTTAGAGCTCAGGCCTAGCTGGCTGCTGTGGCAGTAAAGCCTGTTCAGCTGCTTCTCTAGGCCCAGGCAGCCCTAGCTTCCCTAATAGTTACTTCAGCCCAGCCCAGCCCAGCCCTCCACGCCCAGTGCTGTCTCAGTCAGGGATGCAGGGATGTGCGCTGAACAATATAGGGATTTTTTTTTGTCGGTCCTGGGGCACTGGGCCTGAGCACTCTCCCTCAGCTCTTCAGCTCAAGGCGAGCACTCTACTACTTGAGCCACAGCCCCACTTCCAGTTTTCTGGTGGTTTTTATTGGAGATAAGAGTCTCATGGACTTTCCTGCCCTGCCCGGGCTGGCTTTGAACCACAATCCTCAGATCTCAGCCTCCTAAATAGCTAGTGTTACAGGCATAAGCCACCTGTGCCCGGCAATACAGAGATTTTTGTTCGCAAGAAAAAAGCATTCCTAGCTCAGCCCTCCCCCAAGCTGCTTGTTTTCCATAAGGATGATCTAATAACTGGTCCTGAGGAATGCTTTGTGGAACCCGTTCCTTTGCTCATGGTCAGCAATGTCAGTCTCTGCTTCCATCCATCCCGGTGAGTTGCAGCTGGCCATCTGACCACCACACTCCCTCTGTTAGGCAACAATATCTGAGGGCTTAATTGACAGCAGTTAATCAAGCCTTGAGCCAAGGATGGTGGTGCACATGTGTAATCTCAGCAGCAGGAAGGTCAGGCAAGAGGATCATTAATTTGAAACCAGCTTGGCCTACGTGTTGAGACCTTGTCTGGAGGAGGAAGGGAAGAAAGGAAGGCCCTAACCTCAGGATGTCTTGTTTTAATTTCAAAGGGGAGAGGCGTGTCAGTGGGCTGTGGCTGGGAAGGCTGATGTGGACTGGTGGTGGATTCTAACAGCTGGTCACAGCCCCACGGGCTAGCCTAGGATTCAGCCCTCTACCATCTCCAGTGATTGGAGGCCACAGGGTGTGGTGAGAAGCGCAGCCCTGGCCTGGCTGGGGTGGGCTGACACGGGAAGTATGGTGCGGGAGCTCCTGTCGCCTGCATGTGGCATCCCGGCTGCTGGCTGTCCTGCAGGTTGTTCCTACTTAGAGAAATCATCAGATCTAAAGTCCAAATGAGAAGAGGACGAGCAGCCGGGCAGCCCCCACAAAGGACTTCCTGTCCCAACTGGACACAACTGAGCGCCAGCTGTGACACAGGATTTCTGCCTCTGGGCTCCGCATAACAGGACTTGGTGATTTCAGCCAGGTGGGACCAAATGGCCATGGCCTCAGGGTTGTTTTTCTCCGACTCCCAAGGTGGTGCTGCCTATTTATCAGAGCACCCACTGAAGCCCCACTGCTGTCCACAGGAACTGGACCTCAGAGCACTGCCTCCTGCAATGCAGCCCACAGGGTCTCTCCTTGTCTGAATGAGCAGCAGCAGTGCCCAGCTAGGTGGTACGGGCAGGAGCACAGAGGAAAGGACAGTTCACTGCCTCAGTGGCAGCCGGCAGAATCTCAGAGCCTTGTCCAAGCCCCAGCAAGATGGCCAGAAGGGGATGGGGTGGGATGGATGCATGGCAGGAGCGGCGTGTGTGCCAGGCATTACTGGTGCACTCCAGCTGTGTGTGGGGAGGGGCATGGGGCCAAGGGCTTCCACCTGCTTCCCTGTGAACCCTGGCAGGTGGCAGCAGCTGGGCAGGCCTGTGAGTTCACATGGGAATGAGACTTGATTGCTTCCTGGTCCCAGCCGCATCTCAGGATAAAAAAGTTCCCAATCTAGGATGGCCGCCATTTCAGAAAGCTTTAGAATGTTGGGTTTGACTAGAATGGCGCCTCAAGCCAGCTTCACAATGTACTGAGCAGATGTGTGGTTTATTTTCTGTTGTCGGAGGATGCTGGCCAAGTACGGGGAAATTAGCTGTTGGCTAGCGGCTGCCAAGCTGCTCGGAGGGTAATTAAACCAACAGTTTGAGCTGCTTCCCCAGTTTTGGTTGACAGCGGAGTCATGTCATCAGCCTGAAGCAGGAGGCTCGTCTGCCTGTGCGGGGGCCAGCCATGCTCTCCTCCAGCTGCTGACAGAGGCTACTTACACAGGGGCTAGTAAGAGGACAGGCTTGGATGCAGCCTTGTTTTTTGTCACTGCAGATTGCAATGTCCCTTAGAAAGGCCTCTCCAGGCTCTGATTTCACCAGTGGTCTTCTGAGGCCAGCTTTGAAGAGCTCCTGACAGCCAGGAGACAGGCTTTGTATCTGCCCAGGCCGGGCTACAAGCTGATGGAAAGAGGATGAATAATGAAGAGTAATGGGTCATTCTAAAGCAGTACCTCTTCAGATGGGCTATGGAGTAATTTGGGTCCATCTCAAGGGAAGTACCCTGCCAGAATGCATCAGAATTCAGCCCAAATCCCTCTGTGACTGTCTGCACAAGTGGTTTTTGAACACAGCCCAGGCTTGAAGGCAGAGCCGCACCGCCATCTCCCAGCCCTGCAGCACGAAGAGAACAGCTTTTCTTTGCTAAGCCTCCCTCAGGTAGCACTGGCCTGGGATGGGCCCGTCACTGACCCTGATACCTGCTTTAGGTGGAGTGAGAGCTGAAGATGTCACACTGGGAAGAAGCAGCTTCTAGCTCCTCAAAAAGTTAACGCACATCTTACGCCCAAGGAGGCTTGCACCCAAATGAAGCAATGTTCATTCTTTTTCTACTGGCCAATATTAGTTGTTTTTTTTGTGGGGGGGTGGGGGTGGGGGGTGTTATTGCTTTGATTATTTTCCTTAAGTGCTCTACCACTTGAGCTATGCCTTTAGCTATTTTGCTCAAGGCTGGTGCTCTACTACATGAGCCATAGCTTCACTTCCAGCTTTTTTGTGGTTAGGTTAATTGGAGGTGAGTCTCAGGGACTTGACGGCCTGGGCTGGTTTTCAACTGTGATCTTCAGATCTCAGCCTCCTGATTACAGATGTGAGCCACTGGTGCCTAGAGAGCGAGACGTAAAACACCCTATGAAATGTCCATGAGAACAAGCCAAATGAGAGGTCCCCGCCTGAGTCTTATTTGGAGCTATGACCCTGATTCAGAGGGGGGTCTGGCAGAGAAAAGCCCCACGGCTGAGGCCGTGGTGTGTCTGGCCAGTCTGCCCACTGGGCACCCAGAGTGCTGGGTGCTTACTTTGCACTTTGCTTTCCAGGGAGCATAGCTGCACCCACCCTCACCCCTGATCAACCCCTTCTCCAGAGAGGATTGCTCACCTCTGTGCAACACCACCTCTGAGTCCTGGAGAGGAGGGAGTACCTTCCTGATTCTTATTCTTGGGGGGGGGGGGGGGGGGGGGGGGGGAGGTAGAGGATTTTTGCAGAGGGCCCTGGGTCTTGAACACAGGCAGGGCCTGGGCGCTGTTTCTAAACTTCCTGTGCTCATGGCTAGCACTCTCCCACTTGAGCTGCACAGCTCCACTTCTGGGTTTTGAGTGGTTAACTGGAGATAAGTCTCACTTTCCTGCCCAGGCTGGCTTTAAACTACAGTCTTCAGATGTCAGCCTCCTGGGTAGCTTCGATTATAGGTATGAGCCACTGGTGCCTGGCTTGGGGGGAGGGTTTTTGAGCCAAGGTGGTGTGTATGCCCCTGGGCCTTTGTCCTGTCCAGTCCTCTGCTTTGACCTTCACCTCTGCAGCAACCTGGGGGAGCCTGAGACTACCAGAGTCCTGGGAACAGCCTGGGTGGTAGGTGTGGACGCCCCAGAAGGGCTGGAGGGGGTCCCATGACATGGGAGGCCGGTCAGGGTCACACCTGGCTTTCTCCACAGTGGCCTGGATGGAAGGACATGGAAGCCAGAGGGGCCGGGGACCAGGGGAAGTTCTGTCTGCAGAACATGGCAGAAGCCCAGCTGGGTTCTGGTTCGCTTAGTTCAGACACAGAGGCTGCTGGCCCAAGGCTCACGTGGTAAGAACCGGGTGGCGGCTCGCACCAGAGTGGTGTTGAGCCACACAGACTGGGGCAGCTGTGTAGCTGGAGCTATGAAGCTGCTCTTGTCCATGCAGGGATCTTAGGCTGAGTTGCAGGATGTGCCAGAGAAGATGGCGTGTCTCCCGCCTCCCAGGTGCCCTCACTGCGGCCGAGGTTGTAGGAGGTTCCGGGACCCAGGGGCTTGGCAGGGTGTGGGCAGGGCACTTGGGGACTTCGGCCTACTGCAGTTTTCACCTCTGCTTCTTCATGTAAATTGACTTGTGAGTCCCGTTAGCCTTTTTCCATTTTCATTTTGTTTTTGAGGAGTGGCAGTACAGGGTCTGGCTGTATACAGCCCAGGCTGGCCTGGAACTCATGACGGTCGGGATGACAGACCCATGCCCCACACCTGACGTAAAATTTTCCAAAACAGGCAGCACATACCCATGTCCAAAGTAGCCAAG